AAATGTACAGGGAGCTGTCTTAAAATTCTGACATTCATGCTTACTACAAAAGCAAACTCAGGCAAAAGACCTTTTGTCTAGATTCTGGGGCTGAAGTTTTAGAGCTTGACTATAACCCGAGGGATGGATTCTGGTCTGTTTGGAATAGTGAGGTGTGGAAACCAACACGCTGATTACGGGAGGTGTTTGCGTGAAAACGAGACCAAGAGGAAATTAATAACCTTTTGAGAAATACTGCTTGGAGAAACATGAGCATCACATGTGCTAAGTCTTGTGCAAAGGTGTGACTTGGCTTCTGTGGATGACATTACAGCACTAGCAGTATTTTCCTAGTGTTTGTCTCCAAATGAAGAAAAAAAAAATTGATTGAGTACTTTATGTTTGAAGTCTTAAGTCAAAAAGTAAGATCTGTCTTAATTAAGACAGCTCTGATTTGGTGGGAGATGGAAATCTAAAGCCAGCACTACTGTCAGTGACTCCTGGCAGACCTATTTACAATTAGGAAACTCTGGGATTTTTTGCAGGTCCAAGCGTGACTCATTGATAGGTAAATTGAATTTGCCTAAAAATTCCCCACCTTCTACATAGTAATGCCTTATTATGTGTCAGAGGATGTTAAACACATAAATACTGTGGTTAGTCCACAATTTAATTAAATTCTGATCTTTTCTACTGATTATAACTGGTTTCTACAGATTTTCATGATGTTTCAAGTAATTCTCCTTTTAAATTATGACCTAAATAAGCAGCTACATAATATTTAATCATTTACTTCAATTTTATCAAGAATATAAAGCAATTATTTTCTGAATAAAGTGTTCTTCACTGTGACGTAGTATAATTAAGGAGGCCAAGTCCAGCTGACATGTATTTTAAGTTTGCCTAGCAGACTGCAACATGAAATTTAGATCTCACCTAATGAAATTATTGAATGTAATTAACTTTTGCAACTTTCATCCATCTTGCCCCACCTCTGATGCTGCTAAAAGCTGTAAGGTAATACACATTTACCTTTGTGAAACCTCTATAATCGTTCACCTGTAATACAATAGCAGGGTGTGCCTGATGTTAATTGAATTTATGTTACTTGAATTGGTCCCAAGACAGATTATTCCTTCCTACTCCTGCTGTCATTAAAGAATAGAACATTTTTTTAAACTCTTCAATATTTGAAAATAATTTAAGAATACAGCATAATTTTGCTTGAACTTCAGTTTATAGCAAACTTGGAATTTAGAAATTGTTGCCATAAGTTCACTTCAAATTTTGAAGTAGACCATCTGGAAATAAAAAAAGGAGAATGCATTTAAATAACCCCTCAGCAGAGTATTTAAGCAAGAACTGGATTTTTATTTCAGTATTCAACCGTCTCGGTGACCTGCAGTCATCAAGAAAGAGAGATGGGGAAAGGAAGACAGGCTCTTGCAACACAGGAAACAATCCATCAGTCTGTGGCAGCCGTGGTGGGGGTGGCTGCTCAGACCTGGCACCTGGCACTGCAGGGCAGCTGCTGCAAGGGCACATCACCTTGTGGCGCAAGGATTGACATCAGGCTCTAGCCCAGCATTCACTCACCCCATTTTTCAAATACCACACAGAGCTGGCAAACACAAACCCAGCATGTCTGAGAGTGATGGCTTTTAGTTCTAGCCACCTCTCCTTTGCCAGTGATGAATAGGAGTAGGTCCAGAAAATACCATCTTTGCTAATTCCTTCACTCAGTTTTGACACCATTTGGTGTGTGCCTGCAGTCATCATTAAGCTTCTGAACAAATCTTTAGTACTGCTGTAAGGCATTTCTTTTATGAGCTTGTGCGCAGGAGCTAAACCTTTGCTGCAATATAGTGGTGTTTGTTTTTCTTTGTATGAATGAGCAACATTAATACATTATGTAGTACATAGTTACATTTTGTACTCTTGCTAGTGAAGAACACCAAAGAGAACTACTGAAACTGTTTTTTAATTATCAGTTTCCTTTAAAGAAAAAGCATGACATCACATTCTTGTAATGTTGGTCAACAAAAATTGAAGTGGGATAGGGAAGAAAACTAAAAGCTTCTAAGCACTATCAGAGAAAAAATTTAAATTTTAACTGGAAAGGTCAAGAGTAAATATAACTATGAAAAAGACTAACTTTACATTTTTATAAATTGTATCATGGTCTGCATATCTATGGAAGTACCAGACTTCTTCCTGGACACTAACTCAGCACCACTGCACTGGTGAGATAGCAGAGGCATGATAATGTACTTGTGTTGAGGTAATGGCTTTGGTGTTACAGGTCTTCCCTTACTACCTGCAAGTGTAAAATCAGCATCATCCCACCTAGATTGGACATGATATGTTGCACATCTACAGACCCTACCAAGTCACCTTATTCCTGACTGTTGTGAGATCCATTCAGAGATGAAGATCTCTTTTTTTTTTCCTAAGCAATGCAATACGTCCTCATCCTTCCCTGTCTTTTCTAAGAAAAATGATGCTACAAGTTAAAAAAACCCAGCAGGCTGAAAAACCAAATACAAATTGCATGCCTTGTAGCACTACATTCTTTAAGGACTTCTGAAGAACTTGTAGGAGCAAGAGCCACTGATCAGATTCCTCCTCCTGCCCAAGACAATGTAAGAAAACAAAATTCCCCATGTGTTTTACAAATTATATTTGAGTCCCAAGGGGATGAGAAGCTGAAATGCAGAAATCTCACTCTGTTTATGTCTCATACACAGATGGATTCATACAGAACTTGGGCTCTTAAAAAACTTCAGCAGAGTTCCCCTAGCCCATCAAATTTTCACCTGAAAGTAAAGCCATTGCTGCTGAAGTCTTTTTTCTTTTACTGCTTCCTAGTCACATAAAGTACAACTGAGGTGACCATAAATGCTTTAGTGGACAGACTGTGTTCAGTGCATTGAAGTGGTGCCCAGTAAACTGGATTGTGGGATTTTAGCAAGCTGACAACAATGGAACAGTCCATCAGCAATGGGACATTCTCCTCAAATGTCTCTCTGTTGGAGGCGGCAGGAAGAAAAGTTGAAATTCATACCATTTTAGAAATGAAAAGATCTTTAGCCTCTAAATTCCTTAGTTCAAGTTCTGGACTTTTTTACCAACTATGTAATAGTTTGTATGAAACAAACTTGTTTGTATGAGTTGATTAGCATATCTACAATGTACAGAATAACCAGAAAGAGGTGACAGTGGCCAAGTAACAGCATTAGGACAAAACATTCTGTTATCTCTGCAACCACCTCCTATCAGATAGCAGAGACAGGGTTTATTCATGTCTTTAAGAAAGAGATTAATATGCAGAACAATCTCAAAATCTTTCCAAATGCCTAGGGGCTGACATCTGCACAGTATTTTCGATTTTGGAGGCTTTCCAGCTGAAGTAAACACCTTATCTATTCAGGAGAAAGAGTGAGATGCCTGCCCAGACATCTGTCATTGTACCCTCTTCACTTCCTCTTACCAAGTTTTCTGGAATGAAGCATTGGGAGCATTGGGCAGCCAGACTAGTTGCTTTTGCAGAAGACCAGACAGACTTCATATTCTTCTGTCATCTTTCTGAAAAACAAAGTGCTGAGTGAAACAAGGACGAATCCTTTAGAGCCATGGTAAGTGGCAAGAGGGATAATCTTCCATGCTTAGGTGCCTGTTGTTTCCCTACTTCTGGGAGAAGTAACATGCAGTGGGAACAGATCTGCTTCATGGTGGGAAGGTTACACTCCATAATGAGAAGGTTACACAGCTCCTCTCATCACCCTGTCATGGAAGTGTGAGCTCTGGCAGATTACCTGTCAAAAACAGTCTCTTAAATCACATCTTGCCTGAACTAGAAGACTGGGCTACCACAAAGAAATGTTTCCATCACACATAGCACACTGAACACTGTGCCTAATGTAAGTTTTTCTGGCCTGAACCCTTGCCTCATTTCATTATCCTGTTTAGAAGCCTACAGCAACCAGATAAACCACATCTAAAGCTTGAAAAACTAGAGAGAGAACACATCAACTAAGCAGGGAGAAAAGGAGAACATCTGTTTTTTCACATTTGCCACATTCCCAGCAGGAGGAAGGTTAAAACTAAGCAAACGCAAAATAAAAACAGCTTCCATTTTAATAGCACTATCTAGCACAGTGACTTGTGAAGAGAATGGAGTGTACACACAGAGTCTGGACACCCTGAACAGCACACAGATTCACAGACACACCAGCTGGCAGCTCTGCAGAGGCTTTACTTGCAGGCACAAGGTAAGGAGTGGCAGGACACTCATTGAAAAAGCTGTGTCAAAAATGGTTTAAACCTTGTTCAAGGACAGTCTTCAAAGTGTTTATCAGCTCACCATAAAACTGCTAGAAGAAATTATAACGTCAGTCTTGTCCTTCATTCTGATCCTTGTTAGTATATCCCACATGTTGTCACTCCTGCTTCTGATACAGTGACTGCTACTGCAGCCTTCAGCTTCTACACTATGTTCCCTCCTTCAAAAACAGACATGCTCCTGGATAACTGTTGGTTCACCATAAGTGGTCTATATTGAATTAAATTAACTTTGTATCCTTAAAGTTCTTAAATATTTCCTGCCTTCTCACAGCTCAAAAGTTAGTTTCATTTAGCTCTAAATTTAACAAAACCATTTGCTCCAACTGTGTTATTCTCCTTATGTCACAAACAGCTGTTTAAACCTGGTTAGAAGAAATTTTCATATACAAAATACAGATTCTTCTTAGAATGGCATGACCTTTAAAAAGTATTAGTGAATCTTATATTAACATACCACTTCCAGAAATAATGACTCTGAAGATTGCAAATTTAAGAGTTTTGGCAAGCACAAATGGAGACTCTGGATCATGCCTTAATTTAACATTAAGAAATAAAACTACTTTCTTTAAGATATTGAGAGACATCCTATGTGGCTTTTGAACACCAGGTATTAATGTGAACATAATGCAAGTCTCAGGATGCATCCCTTATTTCCCTGGATGATACAGAAATACCTCTGCACTCAATTTCAACCTTTTTTTCAACTGGAAAAATGTACAGCAGCTGCTGCTCATTTAATAAAATTCCTGTCCTACAGAAGACTATCATACAGATGGTTCAGACTTCCAGCTGACAGACCCTAAGGACACAGGTTAGCAGGCTATTTACTAATATGTGGTTTTATTCCATCTCCTGTCTCCAGCCATTCCCTTGACACAGTTCTGTCTCATTGTTTTGTATAGTCTGTAACCTTATTTGGTAAAGACTTTTATCTCAGGACAAGTCTAAAGATTATGCTAGGTCATTGCTTCTGGTCTTCCATTTTCAGTTTGCTTAACATTTCCTGTACCATTAGCATTTATAGAAGCATATGAAACAGGGCATTGAGAATTACAGGGTTTAACCACAGCAAAGATCATCTTTTACAGCCTGAAATTTAAGATATAAAGCACAGGAATTTCTTCTGAAAGTATTCAGTTTAGGAGGAAAAATGTCTTCCTTAGCTACGTTTCTTCTCAAAACTGGTAAGCAAGATACAGTGCATGGACCCCAATACCTACTCAAAAGAATCTCTCAAGGTTTGCAACTACACCTCTCAATTGGTGAAAATAAACAAATAAATTGCAATATCCTCACCCCAGTAAGTTATATTGATAAATTCATGCAGTATTTTAGTTTTAGAAGGTTTTCAGGTTTTCTCTTTCCATTCCTAGAGCAGCCTGACAGTAAGACAGCACAAACTCCTCAAACAGATGCCATCCTTGAAAAAATTGGTGCTTGTTCCTATCAAACCCCTCTCTGGGGCTTTTGGGTGTGCAGTGATGACTGTACAGGTTTGCCTCATTTCCCCTCATAGTAGCTGGAAGGCTTGGATTGTTGTAACAGGAGACCAAGTAGCAGCCTGCCTCTTCCGCACAGAAAACAAGTGGGGCATTCAGGTAGTACACGCTGGTTTTTTTTTGCTTGGGGTGATTGGTAAAGTCACAGTGCAGTGACTTAAAAAAACAAGTCTTTGTAAATAACTTCCATTGCCAATATTATGTTGTGAATATTTCAGAAGAAAGATGGGGTGTTTTGAAGTATATGTTGGCAGCACTTTTTGTTTCAATGAGCATAGTTGGAAATGTCAGTAGCCATTACGTGATGAGGTTCTGTTTTGCAAGTCATCTCCCATCTTACCTGGTTGCTTTTCTGTATTCATTTTTTATTTTGTGTCATGCACACGAAAAGAGAAGGCGATGCTTCTAGTTTAGGCTAAAAATACATGAAAAATTATTTGGGTATCATTGTGGTCTAACCCCAGCTGGCAACTAAGCCCCACACAGCCATTCACTCACTTTCCCCAGTACATGAGCTGAAACTTTCTCAGAAAGTGTGATGCAGATAAAATACTGTACTTACCTGGTGAAATCCTTGCTTCAGTGCTACTCAGACAGCCTGATGGAATGTTGCAGAAAAATTACTCTCCTACCAATCCTTTCTTGTGCCTTATTGACATTTCAGATTTTCTGCAAACCTTTGCGAGTAGGCTGACCGGCTCCATTTTACATTCTTAGTTTATGTTGGGATTTATGTTATTTGATTCAGTCCTAACCAGCAAAATTGTTCAGTTTAGAAGTACAAAATAAGGACTCACACCCACATGTTTCAATATTCAAAAGAAGCCTGAGATCATAACAGCAACATTGTTGTCATTCATCTTTCTCTGCATCAACTGAACTGTAGAAGTCCCTCCTGACCTGCTCAGCAGGGAGATGAACTAACAGCCTTACTACAGGCTGAACAAGGTGTGCCAGTGTGAGGCAGGGCTTTCATAAAGCACTTTGAAGGTAATACTATCTTGTAGCAAGTTTTGTTAGTGATTTCATTCTTGAACCTTGGTAATGCTGGCCTTGGCAAACAAAAAAGGCTGTCAGGCATTAGCAATCTTCACCATATATGGATATTGCTAGGTAGGACTGCAGAAATAAGCTTTTGGGGCTAAATTTGGTAGATAAAGGGGTGACCCAGTTTGGAAGGCTGCTGATGAATGCAAGAAACAAGCTAAATCCCAAACCTGAAATAGAAAACCTCTAAAACAGGTGCTGGGAGCAATATTTGTGCACCAGAGTGAAGCCTTTTATCCTGCTGTAATTCCAGGTCTGGGTGGCTTGCAGATACTGCTCCCACCTATTAAGGCTACATAACTTTTAACATATTGTGTTGTTAGAGACCCAAATCTTACCAGATTAAGCTGAGAGAATTGAATGCTCTCAAACCTGGACTTTTTGCCTTTTTTAAGAGACATGGTTCTATAGTTGATCACTCCTTAAAGGACTTTTTTTTTTTGAAGTACACTCTGTGAACCTTGATACTATGTTGAATTTGATGACTTCTTAATCTTAACTGTTAGCTGGAATCTTCACAACTTAATTATTCAGATATAATGGAAACTGAGATGTTAATACTAAACTCAGAAATCTGCTGCTTAACCAGCTGTCTTGTTAATTATGGTAACAACACACTGGCAATTGCTTTGATTAAAACACCCTGGGTTTGGTTTGCCTTTTCATTCCCCAATCACTGTCCATACAGATTCAGTTCTGCTGTGCTCTCTCCCTTGCTAAGCGTGCAGAGGAGCACACCAGGTCCTCTGGAGAGGCTGCTGTGAAGCACAGGACAAGGACTCTGCCTCAGAACATCCCTGTGTACTTTAATGCTTCAAGCTCCTGTGTAACTGGTAAGGAACTCTCTACGCTCCCTCATTCTGAGTAAATTGCTTCTTGAAATAGGAAGTGCTGTTTCTTTTCATCTGTTGAGGTACAATACAAAGGCCAACTCTCCACCCATTCTGAACATAACATTCCTTTGGCACTGTCTTATAAAAAGCTGAGGTTGTGCTGGAGGAGACCAAGACACTCCTTCAGCCTCCTCAGAAACGTCTCGTGACTGGTTGGAAGGATGAAGCTCCTGGCACTTTGTGGCTTTTTGTTTGTCTGTCTTTTGTGCCTCAATGTCTTTGTTGCAGAAGGTACAGTACTATAGTCTTCTAATACAGCTTTCTCTTTTCCTTTTCTTTCCTTTTTTGATATAAAATGCTTATTTACTATGTCGATTTTAATTAAAGGAAACAAACAGAGCTTGACAATGAAAAGGAGGATTGAGCTTAGAAAAGGACTTAGACTGCACAATGTGGTAGCATATCAGTGCTTTGGTTTGTACAGTAGTATTTCCTCTGCCATAGCCTGGTGCACAGCATGATTAACTTTTACCTTAATCTGTGTTCTGAAATCTGCTCTTCTGAAAATACATTCTCTTATATTTTCCCAGTAGATAACCAGCCATCCACCAATGTAAAAATAGTATAATTTTCTCAGTAGTGGGAAATGTGTTAATGGAAAAAGCTTCTACCCTTATGAAATAAGAGAACATGAATCTGGTTAACAGAGTATATGATAAGTTCTTTATAGAACAGTGAAACAAATCAGAGTCTCTTCTCACCTTCAATCAGTCTAAACTTTGTTTTCCTTTGTTTTTTTGTTGGTTGGTTGGGATTTTTTACCACTGATAATCAACATTTCATCTGAAGTACCTTGAGGCACTTAGTTACCATTTTGCAGTATTCCAAATTCACAGAGCAGTTAAAATCCTGAAAACAGAGGATTTCCCATCTGTCTATGGCCACATCTCTGCAGATGTCCTTGTGCATTTGCAGAAGGACAGTTCAGTAGCATTTTTAAATTGAGAGGTGCAATCTAGAGTTACCTGTGCAGATTTGTTTAATATTGTGAATCTCTGAGACTCATCATGATTTTTCACAGTGTGTATTTTATACAAGATTTAGAGAACAAATGTGAGATAAAGAAAAACAAATAAGCTAAGTGTCCAAAGGTCAGGAGCAGCAGACTTGCCATGCTTGATATTTTCTAGAAACCTTTCTAAGAATAGTTTTATGTGTAAATATGAGCATGGACAAACACGTGGTAGCTGTTTTTCTAACTGGTTAAGTCAGCTGCCCAGTTTTGTCATTTACTGGTGTCTGTGCTGGTAGAGCTATTTGCCAGAGGAGTGGTACCTGAAGCCCTTCTGCTCTCTTTGCCTTTTCTACTTCTTTTTATTCAGGTCTTTCCATAACACTTGAGAAAGACTTTAGGAACAGTGCAAGGGGAGTTGTAGAATTTCTAGAATGTTTTCAGGAGCATAAAGGAAGCCTGTCCAGGAAGGACAGGAGATGGCCCTATCAATAAAACACAAATGAATACCTGCCACTTCCCATAATAGTGTTTCCTCCTTGTTGATGTGCATGGTACTTCCATGAGTCACAAGGTGGGGAGGAAGCGTGCAAAGGACACTGTTCCTTATCTGTAAGCATAGATGTCAAAGTAAAAGTGTCTGGGTGTGCAAGATAAATGTACTTTGCATGTTAAACCTGTTACATCAGAACTAAATTATGGTGGTATGATAGCTCAGCCTCCATCACCAGCCTGGACTGTAAACTGTGCCTCAGTGATTTCCAGAAACATTGACCATATGTTAGATTTTGTCGAGGAGAAATCATCTATCTCTGTCCTTTCTGCTCCACCCCAGCTCCAGAGTAAACCCTTTTCTCCCCCCTTTATTGTGACCAGCACTGTGGTCAACTGCAGTCAACAGCTCACTGTGTGTGGTGGGAGGGAATATTTCAGTGGCTTTGCCCATCCAAAGCAATTTATTCTACATTCCTGTGCATCTGGACACAGAGGTGCTCTTTTTTTCCTGTTGGTAATTTTTTATATTTTCTTAAGGTGGTGTAACTGTAATCGTATTGCCTGCCAGTGTGACATTTTGAAGGATAAAGAAATCTTTACAATGTGTATCTGATGCATCTATGAGTAATGATGGAAAAGAGCAAATCAGTTCCTGTTCCACACTAGGGACAAAGCTGTGCAGGGATCTATAAATCAGTCATGATAATCCTTTGTTTTACAGATCTCTCCACACAAGAATGTCAGTGGTAAATACAGTAAGCAGAATGTCTGTGGACTCTGACACATTTACTGTATGGGTACAGTTATTTGCATTACCTGTCTCCACTGATAATGTATTATTTTTCACCCTTAGGGCAGAAGGGTAGAAGACGCTGCTGCTCAAAAGCATCCCAACTCAACAAAAATGCACATAAAGGTAAAAAGATTTACAGTTTCATTAGATGAATTAGGTAATCATAAGAGAGAAATCACAACATTCTGGATTTTTTCCATCTGTAAACTTAACAGAATTTTCTATGCAGGTAAATATTAGCTTCAATGAATCACTGAGAACTTGTTCTCCTTTTCTTAGGAAACTTACTGAGTCTTTGGATTGGGAAGAAATGAGATTAGAAGAGATTAGAACCCATTTAACGCCCATTGTATAAAACAATCAAGATAAATGTGATCAAGTCTGATTAAAGGAGTGTCAATGTTCCTCATTGATAAGAGCAGTTGCAGAAGTGAAATATTATCCTGGCTTTGCCCTGCTGTATTCCATCACCATTCATCTGTGGCTGTATTCATCTTTGTTTTGAGAGATCAACCAAAGCGTGGTTCTGTAAATTCCCAAAAATCCAATTTTTGAACCCACAGCTTTACCAGGAAAAAGAATTAGCTCAGATTGAATTTGTTCTAAATATGTGCATGTAAAGACTGTGCAAGTACATCATATCCCTGGTTTCAGTGAGACCTCAGTGGGAAAAAAGCTAAACCATGAAAATGTCTAGGATAAAAGGATTAGTATGCTCTTTAGAATCTTAGCATCTTAAATCTTAATGTTTCTAAATTCAATGAAATGTCTAGCTGATAACTTCTGTTAAACTCTAAAGATAAAGAATTTGACCTAGAATAGTTTATTTCCTATTTCTAATCTTTTAATCATAAAATTACTAATTTGAAGTTCTGAACAAATTCATTCTAGCTGATAAAATATCTTAAATGCTTTATTACTTTTTATATTTAGATAACTTAGGTGGAAATCTTTGTGTTACTCCACAGTTTTCCTTTAACTGGAGCCTTTCCTTCCTGTCCAGTCTCCCAGTGCTGAATCATGGGCTCTGTTTTATAGGCAGAGTCCCATTGGTACCAGGAGCAGTGAACAAACTGCAGAATTATTATGGGTCAGGGGTTTGTAGCTGTCTGGGGCTCCTCATTTAATCAGCAGGTGTAGTAGCAACTGAGGACTTGAGCAATAGCAGGTTCCCAGCTGGCCCACAAGGCCTGGGCGGATGTGCAGTGCCAGAGGTACAGAGGTGGCCTCTGTCACTCCTGGCCTGAGCTGGATTGCACGTGCTGCTGCCTGCCTGATCCTGCACCTTTTCCACATTACTGAGACTTCATGTGATCAGCACATGAAGTGCTGTTACTATTCAATCTGAGTACTTTCTGCTATCTGACAAAATTGGGGGTGTTTCAGTCTTTTTTACACGCAACAGGCATGAAAACTCTCTGCTAAAAGTGCTTGCAAAGAGAATGTTCCTTTGAAAGCAGACTGCTGTTTCCTGGGGATGAAGTCCAGTGATGCTGGTCTCACAGAGAAGGTGTTGTGCTGAGGGGGAGAAAGGAGTACAAAGGAAGCACTCCATTAAAACCTGTAAATTCATCACAAAGATCTCCTACAGACGGAATCTGAAATGCTTTCCTGTGCTGCAAACACAGTAATATTTTACGATCTTTGCTTGTCCCATTACACTGTGTAGAGTAATGTCTCGGAGCATTCCAATATGCTTACTGTAATCATCTGCTGTCCTTACCTGCAGCCAAACCTTTTTTAGGTCAGGGGTTGTTGTTTATTTGCTTCCATATAAGGTGCATCTTTCTGCTGCAAATTACTTCCTCAGATCTGCTTGTATCAAAATGCTTGATCTGAATTGGTTTCTACTCTTATTGAAAGGCAGTTGTTAAAGCTTGGGCCTAATGCAGCAACTGCCCAAAGCTGAATTCTTCTGTTTTAATGTGCGGTCTTTGACCGGAATTGTACAATGTTGGCTTTGTTTTGTATTGTTGCTATGAGATGTCTGGGTGACTTGTGCTGGCTTTTTTAGGGGGTTATTACTTGCTTTATAGTCTGCAGGAAAAGCACAGGGACTGTTTTTCAGCATTGCTCTGCACTGTTCTCTGTGCTGGGCAATTGCCATGGGCAAGCTGCAAAACCACTTGGAGACCAGCTCAGTGTGGCTTGAGGAGAGGGTTATGTATAACCATATATAACCAGACTGGTTACTTCTTTTGAAGCAAAACCACTGATTTCCTAGAATGTTGTCATTCCAGCAGAAACAACTGCTGTCCCTGAAAGCAGATGCTTCAAGCCAATGTCAATCTATGGCTTCTGTCCAGGAAAAAGGGAGAATGTGATGATAGTAAGGGGAAGATACTGTTTAATGTGTCAGTTGAAGAATTCAAGCTCTGGAGAGACAGTAGCATCATCCTTTGTCTATGAAGACCTTCACCTGACTATAGAAACTTCCAGCAGCAGCAAACTTGCAGTGATTGAGCACCCTCACTAAAGGGAAAGCTGGGAGTCAGTGACCTCCAGCAACTAATGAAAAGGGGAAAAAAAATTGCCATCACATTCCTGTTTATTTTCAGATCACTGCTAATCTAAGCCTGCCCACTCAAACATGGCTGAATTTCAGATACTAAAGTTTTGTGCTGTTCTTCACACTCCCAATTAAACAAATCTCTCAATTTTCTCTCTTTTTCATGTTTGTTTTACAGGTGCAAGTTTTAAAATTGCTCCAGTGGAAAAAAGGAGACCTTGCAAGCCTTGTTCTCCGCGAGTCCCTCCGTTTTCTGGACCACTTCCACAGCTAAAATAAGCAGACTGAGAGGAGGCTGAAAAGCATCTGCCTACATGCACAACCAACAGTGCCTCACTGTCTTGAGGACCCTCCTTTCACAGACAGGACATGAGTGTACATTGCTTTCTGTCTGGAGAAAGGCTTCATTACTTTGTGTTAATTCATTCCTTCATTCAGGCACCTTTGATAGTATTAACCTGGCAGAAAGAGTCTGGCAAAGCTGTCTGGCTGTCACCAGACTTTGTGTTTGTGGAATATTCTTCTGTACCAAGCAGGGATTTAGCTCCTCAAGTAAGAGAATGAGGAAAGCTGGTTGAAGAGGTAGCTGAATTGTACTGGTTTGCATTTCTAAATGCCTTTTAGGCATTCCATTGCCTAAAAGGTGGTGAAGGGTTGATGCTTTTGTTTCTAGTTATCAGTATACATGCATATTTAACCTTTTCTTCAATCATTTATTTTATAGTAACAAAGGTGTTTGTTTATATGATCATCAATCATTGATGATTTTTCCTGCAGCTCTCATGCTTGATGCTTGCAATCCACTTGGAAGTAAATTTCTACAAATGATAAAAATATCATCATTTACAAAGGGCTGAGGAACTAGATAAGCAGATTATTAAAATAGTGGTGATTGGCCAGATTCAAGTAAGCTTTTCAATATGTCTTCCAAGGGGGCTAAATCTGACTTTAAAATCAAAGTGGCCTGGTTTTAACTGCCTTAAGAGTGTCATCAGGTGGTTATTGAAGAGCATACTGAAAAGATATTAAACCTAATCAGATTTCATCTGTTCCTCTGAAGCCAGAAGGCAGCTGTTCTTTCAAGACAGCAGAATTGTGTGATCACCTCAACAAACAAAGCTTACTGGAGCATGAAATAAATGCTAAGAATAATACCAAAGGGCTGAATAACAGAGAAACTGAAGCACCTGCTGATACTTTAGCCATGTATCATCTGTCCTTTCCTAACTGTCCTCTGTGTTGCCGCTATTTCTCTGCCTGGGGGAGAGTCCTTAAAACTGAATTACTTGCTTGTTCATAAATTCAGTTCTCCTTCTAGTGAATATGAGGAGGAGTAGAAACCTTTTCTGCTGCTGGGTAAATTGCAGATTGCAAATAGTAATTTTTCTGTCAGTCCTCATAGTACTACTCTTTCTGTTAACATAATTGTCAGTATGATAGAAATGGTTTCAGTGCCCTTCACAATTTGGGGGGAGTTGAATGGGAACAGTCAGAGGTCTGTTGTAACTCACACAGGCAAATGCAATTCCAAAAGGTCAGGTTTATGGGCACTTGCTCAGGGTCCTGCTCTTATTGAGAATGTTTCTATTGTACTGAACAATTGAACCTATTCCTGGCTCTTCTGTGTGCTTGCTATTACTTTATTTTCATATTGGTTTTGAGAGTAGGTAGATCTGACACTCAGCTTCCTATTTTTGAAGACCTGACCATGCATAGCATTTTTTATATCAAGGATAAAGGAACTGCCAGTCCTCCTTGCAAGACCTCTGAATCAGGAGGTTGATGAAGGAACTGTGTTTCACTGTTCAGTTGCTGATCAGGGGGGCAGCATATTTTATTTCTATTGTTTTGTGGAGCTCACAGAAAAAATCTGTAGAATATTAATGACAAGTAAATGTAAAAAATATTTTTGGTATTGTTTGCAGCAGAGTTTTTCTCTGTAAAATATGGCCATGTGTTTACAAGTCTGTATAAAGCCTCACTACAAGGTTTGAGGATTCTCTTTTCTAATGTGAGTTTAAGGCCTTTTATATCTGAAAAATGTTCCAATATTTTCCTCTTTGCCTTACACCCTCCAAGCAGCATGCTCTAAACTCTCCAGCCTCCTTCAGGCAAAATGTTCCCTCTGATAAAAAAAGCATAAGCTGTAGAGACCACTAACACAATTCTTACAGAAATATTCTGTGTAGAGACACAATTTGTGGTGATTGGGGTGGGGCTGTGGCAGAGCCTCATCAGCAATGGGCACAGCTGTGAGCAGCAGGTGAGCAGCACTGACAGCAATGAGCCAGGGAGTGCGCAGGGACACTGACCAACCACCAAAGGGAGCAGAGGGCACACAGGGGCAGTGCATCAACGTGAGGGGATAAAAGGCTGGGCTGAGGAGCAAGAAGGGCAATGCTTGCAGCTCCTTGTGGAGTGGAGTGATGTTACTCTGTATGGGCAGACACCTGAAGCCTTCTGATGTGGTATGGTGTTACTGTGTATGGGTGAATGTCTGAGGCCTTCTGAAATTGTGTGGTGATGCTCTCTCTGTGGTGGCTGTCTGGACTGTGGCGTGTGCTGTGACAACTCTGGATCTCTGGAGAGATCCCAGCACATAGTTTAATGTACTTTAGTAGGCTTCAGTCCCTGGTTGGGGGCTGTTCCAGCTAAAGATACTACTTGTCTAAAGTCCTAGCCTTGGCTGAGCAGACTACAGCAGGAACCTCCAAATAATTTCAGCATGGATTGTGACTGCTGCCCAAATGCTTTGTTGCTTCTTACAGAGGTATAGAATGTTGTTGTGTCCTCTTGAAAGTAATTCCTCAGCAGACTTTGACTCTTATGTACCAGGCCATTTCCCCATGTGCTTACAACAGAGCTACCATCTGATCATGGTTTCACTTACAGGCATCTGTTGTTTCTTTGTATTTTCCTTTCACTTCTACATGTATTTGTCTGGCATTACCGGAAGAGAAACATATTTGTTCAGTGGCTTTTCAAAATACACAAGCTGTATGCTTATATAAAGTACATTTATCTTGTCCAAGCTGACAAATGCATTTTTTGTGGCTGTGTTTGTGTGTGCAGTCGGCTGTCAAGCAAGTAAATTGCACAGGCTTTAAGTTGCAATAAAGATGTTTTTGAAGTGTCTCTATGCCTGACAGAACAGATGCTGAATCCTGGTCTGACCCTGCCAATTAAGTGAGGCAGGTGCCTCCTCACTTTGTTTACAGCTTAATACCACCAGCTAACACCAAATCGGCCTGTTTTATTTGGCACTGACTGTGAATTGTCAGGAGCACAGGAGAAATGATCCCTACTGACAGGATTCTTGGTTTAGAGGCAAGTTTTTGGGATATCTTTTCTAACTAGGTAGTAGGAGAAATAAAAATCTGTATTCTTTATACAAAATGTTATCGCAAAATCTGTAATGGGGGCTCTTGACATTGGCTTTTCAGCTCTCTAGACTGGCTCACAACTCAAGGGCCTGGGTATCCTCAAGGAATTCATGATTTTGGCTCTAGAGAAGTTCTGTTTATCTAAAATGTGGACTACAGGGGCAACTTCTTGTGATCCCATTTGCCAGGAAAACTACACTTCATGAGAAATGTCATCTCAAACAATAATCTCAGCTGGAATATAAAAGCAGAAGGATGTTTCTTGTGTAGATACATGGCTAACTCTTGCCAAAACTGAATAGAAGACTCATGGTGGCTTCAGTATTCATTGGATCAAGTCTGAGGACCTGTTGCCTGACTGTTTTGTCCAAAGTTATTGCTAGATAGATTTAGGAAAATGTTGTCAGATTGTGCAGGCAGGTCAGATGCATATGCATTTTTTACCAAAGTTTTTTCTGAGGAGAATTTGTTCAAAGCTTGTCTCTTTTGTCCCTCTTGTAGATTGAGGGGAAAACCCACTTATACGTGTCTTTTTTACTTCAGCTGTCACTAGATATAAGCAGTTATCTTTACCATAGCTAAGTGCTCTGCAGGACTAATTTTTTGAATTGCTGTTGGGGAGCAAGGAGAGCTCCCTAATGGCAAGAGCAAGGGTGTTGGTTCCAATCCACGTGTGCTTTCAGTATTATAAGACTTAGAGCAGCCATTGGATAATCTACCTTGCTTTTGAACACATGACTGTTCCATCATGCTTTGTCTTCTGATGTTAGAGCAGGGCTCTCAGTACTGAAGGAATTCCCAAGAATTACTCCTGTTTTCAGTGTCTCAGTAGTGGATCTCTGCTAGAAACATTCAGGATATGGATTTGTTCACCTTGTCATTCAACCTTTGTGCCAATATCTGTTTCTGTTTTTAACATGTACTGACTGTGCGTATATTTAAGTGTGAGGGATTTAAGCCCACGTTTCCAGGCTGATATTCCACAAGGGAGCTAAGGACAGATTTCCTATAGGATAAGCACCTTACACTCACAATGCCATCTGGTCAGGCTCTGAACACGCTATCAGAGAAATCAGGTCACTATGTGCCTGTGAATGATCCTCAGGTGAACGTGACTAGTCTGGCTTCCGCAGCCTCACAGCCACAACCACCTCAGCTGATTTGTGGAGTAAGGAATTTACAATTAAAAATTGTAAAGCATGTATATTTTATTCCAGCAGGAATAATGTTGCAGGTATGTTTTATTCCAGCAGGAATAGTGTTGCAGATGTGTTTTAATCCAGCTGGGATGCATGAGGGATATTTCCACCAAAGACATGCGTACGTGGTGATTGCAGGTTTAAATATATATTGATCCCCCAAGCCCACACCTCCCTGCCTGCCCATTCCCTGCACAGAGTCTTTGGTGGTTGTGGGTGGGTTTGTTTGATGAAGTAACATCATCTTCCTTGATGTTCGCTGCTTGGCAGTGGTGGTTTGGCTTTCTCTTATGTCAGTTTGTCCTGGCCAAAACCAGGAGCCTGGTTCATGCTGGCTCCTTGAGCAAAAGGTTCTGCTTTATGGATTTCAACAATACCTGAGTCTTGTTTTACTAAGTTTTGTCTTTATGGCCTTTACCTAGCAACTAAATTGTTATATGTTCTGTTACAAGTTGTCTCTACTTAGCAGGTTACATTCCTGTAACAAACTGTGTTCTGTACTGTTAAATAAGCTATATATATTTCTCTTTTCCTCCACCTGCCTAAGTACATTAAATGCTTCTAAAATTCTGAATTTTCATATACATATATGGTTCCCATATCACAGTTCTCCCAAGAAGCTCTCACACCAGGCTCAGTTGGCCGGACACTCAGGCTGCAGCTGGGATGTTCCTTTAGGAGCTGATTGCTCCCAGCTGCTCATACAGCACAGGCACTCAGGGCTGATGATTTACGCCTGGTCTAGGAGGCACTGGGACCCCAGCATTCAAAGGTTCCACCACACAAAAATGCCTGTTTGTTCACTGCCCAGCAGGCACCTGTGCATGTAGGGTCACAGTTTGTGGTGATTGGGGGTGGGCACGGCTGTGAGTAGCACTGGCAGCAATGAGCCAGGGAGTGCCCAGGGGCACTGACCAACCTCCAAAGGGAGCAGAGGGCACACAGGGGCAGTGTGAGGGGATAAAAGGCTGGGCTGAAGAATCAGAAGGGCAATGCTTGCAGCCTTCTGGAGTGAAATGATGTATGGGTTGAAGAGGCTGGGCTGAAGAATAAGAAGGGCAATGCTTGCAGCCTCCTGGAGTGGAATGATGAAATGATGTATGGGTTGAAGCCTTCTGAAATTGTGTGGTGACATTCTGTGTATTGTGGCCATCTCAACTGCAGCATGTGCTGCGACACATACAATCATTTAACTGCACTGCTGTCACTCCATTTGTGATGTGTGCTGCAGTCACAGCAATGGTTGCATCCTGGCTAAAGGAACTCTGAGTGCAAAAGCCAAAGAGCAACAGGGTTTCCCCTCAAGCACCTGACAAGCAAGGTGCTGCTTAGGTCAGTGAAGAAGAGTGTGTTTCTGTTGGGTTTTGTCATGTTGTTTGGTCTTCAGCACTGATGCCAACCTCAAGGAGGCAAAAAGATGTATTCCTGAGGCATCCTTTGGTGCTCGCCTGGTCTCTGAAAAGCAATTCTCTGTAGCATTCAAATTGTCTCCCAAAACTGAGATGCACTGGAAAATGCTGTCTTTGCTAGGTGGGTCCTCCAGACAAAGCTTCCTGTTTGCATTGTCCCAGAACCCTGTGTCCCAGTCAGTGCCAGTTGTGTGATCTGTTCACTGAGCAATGCTAAAACCTATTTGCATCACAGATTTCTTCCCAAGGGATCAGTATGCCTGTATAGGAAGATGTTTTCATAAAAGAAAAAAAAAAGTGTGAAAAAGTCCATCTGTTTATGAATGTTATCAGAGAAACAGTGAGGTGGTTGAGAACAAGACTCTGTATGAGCTGAGATAATGCAGCAGTGTGTTCAAGTCCCTCTTTAAAGGATTCTTTTTGACTCAGTGGCTTTCCAGTTTTTAACTTCCATTACTTGGGAAACCATAAATGATGGCAATTGTCACTGTGCTCTTATCTTGATGTTGTTTGAGTGTACCAAGGTTAAACAATTCAGCATTTTCCTTTTACTTAGTTAAATACATACCAATACTGCTGCTTTATTCTGCACACATCTTCAGGAGCATGGTTGATGAAAAGAGAGAAAGCACTCTGTGTGTCTTGACCTTAACCTCGTAAGCTCCACCTTTGATAGTCTTTGAAAGGAGCTCCTCTTAAATTTCCATTTAAGTCAGGACTCAGCAGTTTTTAGAACAGATCCTTGAGTCTGAGCCGTAAAGTCAATCTACTCTTCATAATTTTATTATAAAATGTGCTTTGCACTTTTTCCTGTCTTTTTGAACAAAACTTTCTATTTCCTTCTCCAAGATTCTTTCCATGCTTTCTTTTGTTTCTAACATGTCAAGTCTTCCTCCTTGTTAGTTCTCATTGAATAGAAAATTTATATTTTGCCTCTTGGCATGATGGTCCCTCACCTCTTCTTTGTCTATGTGGGATCTCAAAGAAATTCTGCAGGTGAATTTCCTCAACTACTGAACTACATTAATTTGTCTCCATGAAAATCTGTCCATGAGATTGACTGGAGTGTATATTTTCAAAAAATATCTTGTAAAATGGGGCTGCATTGCTTTTTTTTGCTTTCAGACACTAATTTTGTACCAAGGACACTTAGAGGATTTGAACATCTCTGTTTCAAGGCTCCATCTTAAAGCCACAGTATGAGAAGGGATTTTTCTGTCATTTAATTTGTATTTCAGCATTCACTGCAGTAACTTTGGACTGTATAATCTTAGTTAGCAGATGTGGAAGTCTTTTCTCAAATATTTTATTAATTCCTCAACATCTATTGTTGAGATTCTTGCTATGTAATTCTCTTGATTTATCTTATTGATAGATTGTTAAAAAAAAAGCCAAGTAAGTACAGCATTTTGAGCTAAAGTACTAGAAAGTGTGGGAGGAGATGGTGAGAGCACAGTGCTCATAGGCAGAGCTAGTAGGAATGAAGAGACAATATTTAGGATCTCACCAGGTTAAACTATTTGATTTGAGAACCATATACACACAATGATTTTAGAAATCTCTCCAGGCAAAGAGTAGATAGCTGATGGAAAATGCAAGTGGGAATAGAGCAACAGTCTCATGTGTTTTGGAGGTAAATTACTTCAAAGCTGAGTATTTAATATTCTTGGAATAGAAAATCTGTTGACACATAGCTTGTTTTCTAGGTAAGGACAAGCACTGCTTTGGTATAAGGCTGCCTGGGTACTCGGGTTTCCTCTGGACACAGCAATCCAAGGCAAAGGCTGGTGTGTGCCCTGGCCAGTGGGATCTCCATCCCCTAACAAGGTAAGTACCTTGTCACTTAGTCCAGTATGAGGGTTGCTGACTTGTGGGATTCCCTTTGGAGAATGGTTTAAGGCACACACCTGAATTCCCAAGAGAGATCATCAGAAGAGCCACCTGCAGTCACAGTGTCATACATTTATGAATCATACATTTATCTGAGTGAAATCCAGGGGCTGCATCACCCCTGTGGCCAAAGTGCTGCTGTGGTTCAGAGCTGATCTCTAGCAAGGGCTTTGGTTCACCTCAGTCTTTGCATTCATGCCATTCCTGTCCTGAACAGCTGAGTCTGGTCAGACATGGCAGTGAAAGGAGCATGTTTCATTTTCATACATCCCCTGGTTCAACAAGTCATGTTACAGTCTTGTAAGCAGGACATCCACACAGGGATATCCATGGCATGCACACCAGCCAGGAGATTTATGGGGAGAACACAAGTGCTTCTTTGCTCTGCCTAAACAAGTATCATTATTTTTCTCAGCCACACTGAGTAAACTATAAAATCTTGATTTATTCATTATTCACACCCCAACTCTGAGTTATATGTATAATTTTTACAGGCAAAACAATGAACAATACTACTTCTTTCATAAATAACTTGGACTGCCTGTCTGCTGCTAAATGGCATCCTTCACACAGATCTGTGTCATGCTCCACAGCACCACATCCATCACAGATCACGCTGCTGGACTGAATGTAGGCTATCTAAATATACCTGGATATTCTAGGGACTATTTGTTCATTTTCCATCCCTGTCAAAAGAAAATGAGGAGAGTGATTCGTAGCTCCAAAGAAGCAAAGTTACTGAATTGTAAATGGATTTTGCAGTGGTCTTTAAAAGCCTCTAAGCTAGCAAAATGGATAGTAGGAACTTTAATTACTTCGCAGTTGCAGAAAATGTTCCCCTTTTCTCAGTAACCTGCAGCACCTTTTTTTGCAAATGCTATAAAACACTTTTTGGCAGACTAAAACCAGGAGAAGCTGTATCTGAGATAAGTTCTCCCAGGATTTCCCGAAACCTCTGCTGCCACCCACAGTGAATGACCATAACTCATGATAAATCATGGAGGCAAATGCTCTGATATTTTTGGTGGGTAGGCTAGCATTTTTTTTGATGGGATGAAAGTACCATCTTTTACCTGTGTGGAAAAAATGCCCACCACATTTTGTTGGGAAAGCACTTTGTTGTCTGTTTTAAAGCCACTGTGGAAATGCTAAAACTGGTAGATATTGGATGTTTGCACTCCCTCTGTTTTCCTGACATTGTAATTTCTTAATTCCTTTGGAGATAAGAACATCATAGCTGAGTGTTCCTGTTCTTGTTATCCAAAATGGGGGTGGGGGGTGTTCAAACCCAAGGGGCTCAAGTCGATATAATGCTTGTAGTCACCTCTCTAAATCTTGCTTTTTCTTTCCATGAATTGGGAATGTTTTCCTTCTTCTGCTCTGTGGCTGTATCTTCCTGAACCAGTTGAGTTACAAAGTCTTTTCATGCTGTGTGTTTTATCAGACTAATTTTTTTCTGATGAGGGTGATGAAGTACTGGCAGAGGCTGCCCTGAGAAGCTGTAGATGCCCTGTCCATGGAAACATTCAGGAGCAACCTGATCTAGTTGAAGATGTCCTTGCTTGTTGCAGGGCTTTGGACTATATGCGCTTTAAAGGTTCCTTCCAGCACAAACCTTTCTATGGTACTGCCCAGGTTTCACCATTCTCCTGCACACTGCTGAGGTTTAGCATGGCTGCTTAGTGGAGCTGAAATATAAAAAAGGATGCATAGACAGCTGAGTTACAGCTCATGCTGTTCATTAAATTCCTTAAACCAAACAGTACAGTGTTGCTTTCAGCCTGGAATTACTGAACTAAGAGATGTTTATAAATTTAACCAAGGTCATTCATGATCACATCAGTATCTTTTGATTACTTTTATATGAATTTAATGATCTTGAGCTGATTATTTAATGATCTTGGGCTGACTGTGTGTGCTAGATATGAAAACCCCCGTGTGTCAGAACTGTAACAATAAGCTCATTTTCTTTTTAGAATGTTAAATTCGTTCAATTAATTGCAAGAAAATAAAAGTGAGAGGAAGAAAGAGGTGTTTATTTGTTTGCATGTTAATGTGTCATGACTACTAAAATTTCCACGTCATTTTAACAAATTTGCCTTTCCTAAGTGATGAGAGTGGGCTGTGGGGTGATGCATAAACTCTCATTTAGGAAGTGGCATATTTGTTCTGGCAACTGGGAGGATCAGAGTTTAGTGATAATGGCCAAGGACTCAAGCACACATCTCTGATTAGAATTAACCACCTAGATATAGGACTGATTCTCTTTTGTAGTTCCTACTGAGCAATGTTTGACCTATTGCAAGTCTGTTTCTCTCTCACAGCTGGTAATTCAAAATGTAGAGAAGGACCTTGAAGACTTTTGAGGAACTTTAGTCTTTTCTCTTCTCTCCCACCAAGAAACTAGGTTCTTGCAGACTCCCCTGTTCCTATAGTTTCTCCCAGCAATCAGACAGAAGGTATGGTGCAGTGCTATGAAAGTGTAAAATCTGGGTCATGTAAAATTCTTCACCACCAAAACTAGTCATCTGAAATGTAATCAATAGCTGTTCCTGGATTTCCAGCATCATCTGTATTCTGTATTAATGGAAATTGGTGGAGAGTGATGATATGCCCCAGTACAAGTCATCTCTCAGTCCTTTCAGGGAGATTTTTAGGAGGAGAAATTATGTTGTTTGGGCTGGCAGGAGTGTTTTGTTTGGTTCATGGTGGGAGCTGTGTGATTAACTGAGTCTCAGCTCTGGTGAAACAAGAGTGCTCTGAGCCCTCCCAGGGCAGGACCACTGCAAAATCCAGCCAGGCAGCAAACACCCAGGCAACAAGTGTGATCATTACATTTACCTTACCTCGGCATTCCTGCTGCTCCTAAGCTGTTTGGAGATCAGCTGAGACAACTCATGCTCACACCATGCTGTGGGACTTGCTACTGCACTGACCCTTTGGTGTGCAAGGGACAGCCCAGCTGGGGCCAGGGTTGTTAGGGTGTCTGTCTTACCTGTGGTTTATGTCATGGTCCCTTCCTTTGTTTTCAAGCTAAAAAACAACTTCCCAATCACTTTCAAAGATGTGAGAATAGAGAGAGTTTTGAGAACATTTGACTGAGGTTCATTTCTCTCTGTTGCAGAATTGCATGAGGAATTCTGAATGAAGTGTGCTGTGCATAATGCCTCCAGGTATCAATGGTAAGTCCCACAGCCTGTTATAGCATGTGATTTACAAAGAGAATGCCACAGTGTGATTTGGTGTCTTTCTGCACATGCTGAGGTTTATATAAAGGGTGCAGCACTTTCTATGTTGTATTTATTGACACGCACAAATGTGCACACAAAAAATGCTGAGTACTCCTCTCCAGGGTAATGCCTAATGTCGTATATACCCCAAATTCAATAAGCATATAAAAAAAGTAGCTTGAGCTGTTGTTATATGAGTGTGAACTTTATTACTTATCAATACTTGTCCAGAGCATAGAAGAGAGGAAAATGGAAACACAAAATCTGAAGACAGCACATAGTAGCTAAAAAAGGAAAGCAGGACAGCAGAAAATAATATCTGTCATTTTTTTCATTTTATTTTTCTCATGATTTTTAAATTGCAAATGCATGTAAGCATCCAAAAGCTGATCAAAATGCAACTCATGAAAGCCTCCCATTTATATGCCAAGCAGGCATGGCCCAGGTGGGCAGCTCTAATGTGGTTGCCCTGAGGTGGAAGGGCCACCCACGGTGTGGAAAGAGTAATTTCCCTCCGTGCCAGCTCAGTCAGTGCCCTCTGCTCAGCCTGTCAGCACAGGTGGCAGCAGGTGCCAGCTGGGATTCCAGTGGCACAACAGGGCACTCACTCCCTCAGCTGTGAACACAACTCCCACTGCCCCCACCCCAAGCTCCTGGTGGCATTGCTGTGCAGTGTGAGGGGCTGTGCTCCTGGGAAAGTTTAGGTGCTGTTTTATGTTGGCACCTGCTGCCAGTTCTAGTCTGGCCAACATTTTAGGCTGTGCTTTGGGACTAGGCTCAAGAGCAGCTGTCTTTGTGGGACCCACAATTCCCCCATTCAGGGTTGTGTGAACAGAAAAAGTGCAGCTCTTGGTAGTTGGTGAAAGCCCCTTTCTTGTCAGCCATATTTTATTAAGGAGGATTACTAGTCTTAAGCTTAAGTATTAGGGCTAAAAAAGTGAACATGGTAGGGCCCAGGGTTTTCCAAGATTCTCAAAGGCTCAAAGAGATGAAAGATAACAGGGCAGGAGCTGGCCTTGTGGGTGGCTGGTGTTGTGTCTGGCCCCTGTGCCCAGCAATGATCTGGTTTCATGTTCCCCTTTGTCTCAGGGGAAAAAAAGCACCCATGGCTCAAGGCATCCCAGGGGGCTTCTCACTGCACAACCCAGAAGTTCTACAGCCATGCAGTTGTACACCCTATTTCACCTCAGCTGTGCTCAGAGGAGAGGAAGTCTGAAAAATATTCACTGCATTATTGTAGCAGCCTTCAACATCTAAACTTAAATTGTATAAAAATTCAGGTTGTCTAACAAGCTCCGGTAGATATTGCTAATCAGTCACCCAAGCTTCTGTTCTGAAGCTATTGGAATCTTTTCTGGATGTTTTTTGTACTGAATAGTAAACAAAACCCTGGGAAACCAGTTGGTCGTTGGTCCAGATCATGTGGGTATATTTGAGATCAGATGGGTATATTTCATTTTTCTTTTATGTTTCTTGTTACTTGATATGCTAAAGATGTACAAAATAGCAAGTTTCTTGTATATAGAGAGAGGGATCCTACCATTCCCAAAAATGTTGGGACAGAAGGTATTGCTTTCCTGAAACTCCCTCCTTTTCTTCCAAAGGAGAAAATTCATCAAAATAAGCCTGGATCCATGAGCTGTGTTGGTTTTGATCAAAGTATATTTTCTGACAGAAAAAACAACTCTGTCACATGTTGCTGTGTTAGGTATGGATCTGACTGTGCATAGACACATATTAGCTAGGTTTTCAAACTGTAAGGAGATTAAGAGCTCAAACTCATTGAAATTCAGGAGGGAGGCATTTTGCTTCCTTGGAGATGCAGGCCCTAGAGATTCAGATCCCCAGGGGATGAAACCAGGGGAACAGACAGCTATTAACTTTGACAACAGCTCTCCATCACTTGTTCTAGGAAAATTCTCTCTAGAAAAAAAAAACCAAAACATATTGTTAGTTCTGGGTTGAGGAGGCAGATGAGAAGACATTTAGGTGCTATTTATATTTTCTTTTGGGCACCATGCAGATCTATTTCTGTGATTTTGTCAGTGGTTTAATACTATTTTTGACAGAGATGGGATGATTAAATCTACAACAGGGACTAAATTTATATCCATCTTCTATATGTGTATCTGCTCCCACACAGTTTTCAGCTTTGGATCCCCATATCATGAATTTAAATGCACTAAAAATACATTTGTTTTTCATAGTTGCCTGCTGCAGGTTTCCCTGAGCTTTACAGGCCACTGCTGCAGTCACAGATCAGTTCAACATGGAGCTTTTGTAAATAGTGCTCTACAAATATAATCATACAGAGCCAGAACAAAGGTCTGATCTCACAGGAGATGGTCAGAAAGAGATCAAGATATCAAAGAGCCTACCCCTGATTGAACTTCCAACCTTCTGGCAGGTCATAATGTAGTGCTGAACTGAACCAGGGTTTGCATCTGTGTCATGACATTTGTTAGTCATCAGCAAACCCAGTCTTCATTAATTTGTCTCATGCATTTGCAGCCTTCTTTTGCTCTCTGTGCCATTCTCTGGTAAATTCCATTATGGGTGATGAGTTTTGTTAATATTGGCCCAAGAGTTTTGCTTTTCTCCTTTGGAGAGCCTTACAGCTGACCTGTTCTGCAGGCAGAGGTGTCCTGCCAGCAGCACTGTGGATCCCAGGGGATCTGCAGGCACCCACAAGCCCTGTCCACAGCATGGGAGCAGCACAGCACTGTCTGCAGCAAAGGCCTCTCCTGTGGCCCCCTCCAGCATTTGTCAGGGTAAGGTACACTATAAATGTGTGACAGGATCCAGCTGTCAGCTCCCTCTCTAGGAAAAATATACTGGAGCTGCCCAGCCTGTCCCTGCCCTCCATGAGTGATGGATGAGAGCAATCCCTGGAGCCCTGCCCATCTTCAGCTCTGCACCCCACAGGGCTGGGAGGGGAGACTCTGTCTGTGGGCTCATGCCTGGGGAACAATCACCTGCTCCCTTCTGCAGCTTCAGCAAACAGTGATAAAACATGGGTGACTGAGGGAGCCAAAGCTTCCTCTGCTGCCCTGTGTGAAGCTGCTTCCTGCCTCTGCACCTGCTTGCAGTGTTTCCACTGCATGTGCCCCCCTCACCTGTGCCACTGCAGCCACCCAGCCTGTGAAGCTTCTGCCACTTCTTAAAGCACTGTCATGGGGAGCTCTTTGACTGATCAGCTTCTTGGACATGTCTTTCACTCTGGCCCTTAATTAACCCAGAAAACTCCATTAACACATCCTTAAAGAGCAAGTGCTCTGCTGCAGGTCAGGTTTAAACAGCTCAGCTCCAATGTAAACACCTCAGGTCTTGGCAGCCAGGTGCTGCAGGATCGCAGTCACAGAATCACCTGAGCTGGAGGGGACCACAAGTGTGTATGTGACCATTGAGTCACATACTGCCACTGACGGAGCTCCTTTCAGACAGGTTTGTATTTTTAGTTATGTATGTTTTTATATGTATTTTTCGTTAGTGAAAACACTTTCTGTATGTCAAACCAAGCAATTTGAAAAAGCTGTTCTGTTAACTTTTTCAGTGTGTTGATGGTTAAACACACTTCTCAGTATGTTGGAAATTTCCTGCTGAAAGTAAAAGATGCTTTCAGCAATTCATGCTGTTTAAGAATTAAATGATCAGGCCAACTCATAAAAAGAACATTTTGACTTCTGCATTTTTAATATGCAATGTTGTGTATTTTTTTGCTATCATATGTGCTTTCTTTTAAATTGTAACAATAATTTCTATTGTTTTTGCTAATACTAGATTTTCTTCTTTTGTAGTTTCTCACGATTACCAGAGCTAAAATGAATATAAACTTCTTTTAGCTCTTAAAGCACCTTAGAGAATTAAAGATAGAGTTCAGAAAGAAAACAAATTTCTACTTTGCCTTCTCCCTGACTTGTGTGTTTGGACAGAGAAATACAGTACTGAAAGCAAAACATGAGAGTTACACTGATTCCTCCAAATCTTGTCTCAGAGATGAGTCCCACAGCTCCCTGCAAAGTAATTGGTCTAATTAGGTGGTAGGAAGGAGCTTCTTTAAATTCCTCAGAAATTAAGACGTGTCATCCGCTTAACATCTTAGCATCTGTTACTGCCTCTTCCACATTTCTCTGCTACATCAGTCTGAAGGGCACTTTCCTGGACATTTCAGAGAGATAAAAAAATAAAAATAAATAAAACCAACAAAAACCAAGCCCTTATAACACAGAAGAAGTTGGCTCTTTCTTCAGTGGGATGAAGCATGTAAGGCATTTCACCCCCTCCTTATTTCTCAGTTTGGTGCATGTTTGCCTGGGTGAGTACAATAATCACTTTGTTAAGTAAAATATAGGAGAATACAAGCATAACCTTAAATCCTGTAGTTATCCTTACTGATTTGGTAATGTTGTTCTGAAATATTTTCCATGGCAACTGGTCCTTGTGCAAATGTTACACTCTGTGTTTATATATTTGCAGTTTTGTTTCAAATTGGCTATTTTGAATCTCTAACAGTCAGTCAGTAGAATGACAACTAATTGTTTTTTGTTTTGTTTTTTTTTAAACTTTGCTGTTGTCTGGCAGCAAGTAAGTATTTAATTATGGCTAATTGCTCATGTAGTAGGCATAATTTTAAGGCAGGATGTGCTTAGAACACTGGGTAAGGTACCGAGGCACTGAGAAAGTTTCAGGCTTGTATGTGTAGAGTAGAGGAGAGGTGTTCCATCATTGCAAGCTGAACAAGTTCATTTTTCATTGAAGCTGTCTGAAACTGGTTGAGTTTTTTTAAGGGAGATCCTGCTATTTGTTTTGTTTCTGTTGATTGGGAGGTTTTTTATATACTGTCTCTATTTCTTGCTGCGTAAATATTGGCACAGTGGCACATAGAAGTAATTTTATTAAAAATATCTATACAGATACAGTTCTGAAAGTCTATTGCAGCAACTGGGTGTGTTATGCACTCCTAGTATTCCCTAAACAGCTCCTGTTTACTGAGAGTCAGGTAACTGAGACAGCCAAATAACTGTCACCTACAAAATGCTTTTGTTTGGCTTCTGTTTTGTTTTAATTGCAGTTCAGGCAAATTATGCCCCCTATTTCTTTGATAATGGAGCCAGAAGCACAAACGGGAACATGGCACTTCTCAGCCTTTCAGAGGACACGCCTGTTGGTCAGTATTAAAATTTGTATGTTTGAACTGTAAACCTGGAATTGCTTGCTCTTATGTTTAACGTATATATTTTCTTGTAGGTTGTTGTTGTATGCTGTGGTCTTACATGTTTTTCTCTCAAGCTTTTAATTGGCCTCAATTTAAAATGACATGTTTGAATTGTAGCTGCAATTTAAAACATGAATTCTAGCTCCCTTTTTTTTTTTTGTGCAGCAGTCTATTCACAGCTTCAGAGCACAGACCTTTGGGGTCAGAAATAAATTTGTGGTGAGAGGCTTCTAACAAATTCTGTAAATGCTTATGTGAAGAAAGCCTAGTTTCTAGTAATTTATCAGCCTTGATAAAAGCAAGCTGTACATTGAAAAGTAAGGGGCATGATTTTTTCTAAACACATTTTTAATATTTATGTACAAATGGTAGAAAATGTTTCCACTTGCACTGAAAATTGTTTTGTCTAAATAACTGATGTTTTTTTAAAAGGTTTTGTTTTGTTTTGTTTTATTGAAAATTCAAAAATTGATACAGTTTTCATATTTCAGCATTCTGAGGCAGGTCTATTTGTGCTTCTTTTAACGGTAGTTACACTAAGAAAATTAAATAAGAACAAAAAATGATGTATAATCAATATTTTCTGTGGGGGGAAAATAATCTCCTAAGACCTGAACAATTACATAAATAAGTGATGTTCATCATCTTTACTTCAGACTTTGCCCTGAGATTTTATTTAGGATTTTCTTCTGTTCATCTGTAGCTTTCACAGGCTAAATCAGAAAAATATTTAGTTAATGCAAACTGGGTACCAAAGCACCCCTTTACTCACACAGAGAGATGTGGCTGCCCAGGGCTGCAGCCAAACACCCCTGCCAGGGCTTAGGCAGCTGGGGAAGGCCAGGATGAGGGAGGCATCAGAGGGCACAGCCTGCTCTGCAGCCTGACATTGCCACCCACGCCTTCTCACAGCAGACCAAGGTCACTCTGCCTGGGAAGGAGCTGCCTGGGTTTGCTCAAAGTCCCCATTTCTGACCCAGTGGTGTTGATGTCATCCAAGACCCACACTGGGCCTGCTAGAGGGTGGGGAGGGGGGTGTTTGGAAGCAGCAAATTCTCCTTTACCTGCTCAGCTTGAGAAGAGGAGGGGGTGATGGCAGCACATAGTGTAGTAATGACACACCTTGACAATTAACTTAAAAGGAGCTTGCTGATGATGCAGCAGGAATTTGCTACAGGCTTGGTCAAGCTTAAGTGGAAACCTCAGCTTGAAGGCCAACAGTAATGTAGTAATGTAGTGGCACTTGCAAAAGCCAGAGCCAGACCAAGGAGCTGCAATTTTTGCTGTACTTCTGCCTGGATTCTCATGGAAACCACGCTTAGTTCAGCCTTGTCAATCCCTACTGTTCTGCTGATAGCTGGAGTCAGATGAGCCAGTGGAATCACTTGTCCAAATGTAGACAAGGCTGTAATGCCAGACAGCCACAAAATGGGACCCCAACTCAGTTTGTTTGGGGTGGTGCTTGCCAGCTCTGCCACTGAAACTGCAGGAGTACAACTTGCTTGCCATCCAAGTCCCACTCCCTGGTGTGCTGCCAGCCTCTGCCTGCCACCACTGGGAGCCTCCAGGCACCTGCATGGGGATGAGGAGATAAAGATGGCACAGAGCCACAACATGAGCAAAAACATCCCTCCTGTCAGGACTGCAGCACCACATGGTCTCTCAGATGACAGCACTCCCTGCAGCAGTGAAGTACAGCAGTAATTTCCACTGCATCTCATCTGGTGCTCCAGCAGCCAGAAAAAAGGACAGTGTGCCTCAACAAACAGCAAAACAGCAGTGTGAGGGATCAGAGCCTGTGTTAGTGTTCTCCTAATTAGCCCCAGTAAGAATAATGAGATATATGTGATGGGCTTCTGTACGTGCTTTTGTAACATTAGCAACCAGACTAGGAACACAGAGGTCTCTGGAGAGTTTGTGCTTTGCTTGCAGCAGTGATAAAGCTCAGGCTGCTCTTTCTTGAGAACTGCTGTGCTTTCTGCCTACTAGCTTCATCCAGAATGTGCTTACATGTGTTTAAATTGGCTGGCTTGTACTTCTAATTTGATGTGTAAATGTGCTTTAAAAGACAAGAGAGAAATAGCTTCTCTCTGAAAGCTCCAAAAGACCTGTAGAAACCCTTGGGAAAGAGAGATAAGACCTTACTTTTGAGAAGACCACACAGCTTCCAGTACTTCTTTGGGCTAATTCCCATAATACCTTGACAAACAGCTCTAAGTACTGCAAGGTCCTCTCTTCTGGAAGCACTTTCAGAAGTTCCATTGGAACATGGCTGCTTGGGACTTGCTTAATGCAAAGTGCTGCTGTCCAAGTCAGCGTAGTCACTCCTTGGGGAGCCTTTGGCACAGACAGTCACAGAGAAGGGCACAAACAGCACTGACACTTCAGTGCTGGGTGTGCTTTCAGCTTTGTACAGGGCAAGAGGATCAGAGTTCAATTATACCACTGCCAGAGCTCCCTGCTAAATGGCTACCAGGCTGGCACTTTTCTGTGGCACTGCAGGGGAGAATATTGTTCTTCATCACTTGCTCTGATCTGCTCCAGAAGCAGGAGAAGGAATCTGGTCTCCCATGTTTATGTGCAGTCCCAAGCATCCACATTCCTCCAGTCATCTCTCAGGTTGAGCAGGATGATCAGTGACAAAACAGGGGAACTAAAACTTCCATATGTTTGATTCTGGATAGCTTCACTCAGGTTTATGTGCTGCAAAAATGGACAGGTTGCTATTAGATCTTTGTCCTTACATAAAGTTTGGAGTCATGGGCAGGATGCTTTTCTTGGCAGCAGCTGGTGTCTGATCTGTGCAATGCCACAGACAGCAGCTTTAATAAACCTTCAGAAATTTTACAGTCTTTGACCCTGCTGAGATTGCAAATGGTTGGCAAAGTTGTATGTGTTAGTTTTATTCCCAGACATCTGTAGGCAAGGGACATGAAACATTTGGGAACACTGAAAGAATATGAGTCTATGGACAAGTCTGTGTGTGGCTGTAGAAAGAGATATTGCATCTCTACAGCTGTGTGAACACATCAAATTTATTACCATTCTCGTGTCATCCTTAACTTGACCTTCTTTTCCCTTGTCCAGTTTTGATTATTTACACAGGGCTCATTGCATCTCTGCAGCTGTGTGAACACATCAAATTCATTACCATTCTCGTGTCATCCTTGACCTTCTTTTCCCTTGTCCAGTTTTGATTATTTACACAGGGCTGTAACTTGTGTACCAAGTTATCATAAAACCAGCATTTCTGCATGAATGCTTGAAGGTACCTGCAGATTCCCAAATCCTATTTATTGCTGCAGGGCTAGAGACCCCTCAGAGTAAGAGGGGCCAGAACAGCAGCAGCACTTTTCAGTGCCAGATTTGAGAAGAATGGGAGGAGCTATGAACTGAAATAGCAGTTGGTGTTTGTGGTTTGGTGGGGCAGGTGGGTAATTCGCTCTTTGCATGTGTACATACAAAATGTGCATGTGCTCCTAATCAAGGTCTTAAGGCAGGAGTGGGATGCTATTTCAGGTTGTTTGTTTCATCTTACCTCATAATCCCTGTAAGCCTCATGGTGGGGACAGAGTGGGGCTGGGAACAGCTGCAGAGCAGGGGATTGAAGCATACTCAGAAGGCCTAAGTTCATTACTCTCTCAAAGCCCAAACATCATCAGTGCTCTGTAGATCTCTGTATGATCTCTTTGCATTTCCCTTTCTGTTTGTTTTTTTTTCCCTTGCCCCCAAGAAGGCACTTCTCCCATTAAAAGCCAGTTTGCAGTGGCAGTTCTTCGATCAAAGCTACAGCTGCCACCTCCTCACCACTAGGTGACTGATCCCTTCAGATCCCCCCATCCTTCCAGCTTGCCCTGTTCCTACATGCTGCTTGTCTCCTTTCTTCCCATCACTCACAGCTGACTGAGGAGAGCCTTCTTGTCCCCTGTGGTACCTATCATTCTTTCCTTGTTTCTGTCACCCTGGTCCACCTCTAGAAAAGCTGGGAGCTGCCAGAACAGCAGTGTTAAGCACAGCCTTCTGCACCCCAGAGGCAGTGCCAGCATGCACAGAGCAAAGCCCCCTGCAAAGCCAAGCACTGCACAGAGATGCTCTGAGGACTCACAGGTGTTACAGCCTTCAATTTTGTTTAGATTCTTCTGACAGAAACTGCAGATACATCAGAAAATTGCACTCAGATGGTTTCTGCTTGGAGTTGGTTGCCATGGGTTCTGCAGGGACATATTGCTGCTGTCTGTGGGGTGATGGTCCGGGCCCCGTGCTGAGCCCTTGCTGTCATATCCCATCTCTCCAGGACAGGCACTGGGCATGTTTTGGCTGCTGCTGATGCTGCCATGTCTCTGCTTTGCCAGCTGGTTGGTGCACCAGGGTGCAGGGAAGGAGCAGAAGTCACCTGGGCATGGTCTAGAAGGAGCAGGAGCAGGCAGTGAATGGGGAAGGGGCTTTGGAGTAGTCATGGTGTGTGTCCATGGCCTCCAGGAGCCTGTGCTTGGGGTGAGCTTGGTGTGAAAACAGCTGTCTGTAGCTTTAACTGTCCATCTCTTCTGCTGGGGAAGTGGGCCCTTGGCTGAGAAGGTGGAGAGAGACTTGTGACCCTGGGCAAGGCTGTGACATTAGGAACAGAGGTGTCCTGTCCTGGGACCATGGCCACTCATGTCCCTCTCAGCATCTTCTTAACAGTTGTCAGCTGTGGTGGCAAAGGACTGAGCATGAATCCAAAATGTGCTTGGCTTGTTTAAGTGACAGGGGAGGGATCTGATTGCTGAGTGTTGCACAGCAGAGGGGGAGAGCGTGTCTTCAATGAGAAAGCAAAATCAGTCCCAGAGCCCAGGGCAGAAACTGTGATTAAATTTGAGTCAGAAATTAAGTAAAATGGAGCAATGGCATAATGAGACAACCATTCAGCCAAGTGGCAGAGCAGAGAGCAAATGACTTTTAAGATGGAATAGGAAAAACAGAGTGAAAAAGCCTGGCATGGCTCCTGGGAGGAAGCCACAGCAGGAAGCAGCAAGTAGTGCCCCAGGACTCCCCTGTCCCAGCCTGCTGCATCATTCCCTGGGTACTCAGAATATCCAGCTCCTCTAACTGTGGCATTTGCCATATCCTCAAGTAAAGACTCTTCTATTCCCATATTTTTATGACAGGGAGAGGGTATTTATTTGGTATCCTCTGGTAAGATTTTATCTGTCTTTTTCATTTATTTCCTTTTCAGTAAGTAGAGGCTGCACACTGAGAACAGATTTTTAATTGGCATTAACACTGTGGTGAGAAGTGTTCCTGGGGGTGTTAATGATATGGAGGGTACTGTGAAGTGAAATTGCAATTTGGAAAAAATAAGGAATTATAATGAGTTAGAAAATAAATTTTGATCCACAATCTAATTTAAAAGGCATGTGAGTATTTTGTATTATGAAAAACGAAGTATGAGCTTTAGCTAAAAAGCAGAGTCCAGTGTAAAGATCAATGAAGTCCATCATTACTTGCTCAGAAAGCTCAGTAATCTCAGTCTGTACCAATATCAATGTTTCTACTCACATTCAGCAGCAAGGAAGTTCCTGTTTTCCTTATAAGAAAATTCTAAGCAATGTAGGAAAGGAAACTGAGATTTAAAGAAGCAGCCCAGGTTCAAATGGGTTCACATAAACTTCCAGTGTGTTGTTCTCCAGCCCTGTGACCCCTGAGGAGTGGTTTGCATTTGTGTACTGCTGGTATTGGTATTTCAGGGCAGCCACAGCAGACACCTTGTGCCTGGTGGTTGCTCTCAGGCTCTGAGACAGCCCAGATGTGGTGTCCATCCTGTTTCTCCACAGCACAGAGAGCACTGCTCTGCAGCTGCTGCAGACATCCACACAAGCTAGAAACAGGCATGACACTGTGTCAAGTGCAAGGGACAGGAAAAGGTAGTAAGAAGGGCAGAAAACAACTAAGATGTAGAGACAACTAATAACCAAAAACAGGCTGCATTAAAGTACTATATTTATAAGGATATCAGTGAGATGATGAGAATTGACACCTTAAATCTCCAATTGGACCCAGCTGTGATATTAAGAAAAAGCTTTTGAGAAACAAGAAGTAAGTCTGTGCTAGTGCTACAGAATCCTCCAGTTTTCAAATTTCTCTCTCTTATATAAGTAGTTGTATCAGGAAGCAGGTGTCCTTTCAGAATAATATTTTATATCAGTCCCAGTTAGTTCCTCTCCTTTAATTTCCTTGTGTTTACAGAGTTGTTACAGCCAGGAATATCTCATCATACTGCTCATTGTCTTTCCCTAATAATTTTCAGGGATCACAGTTACAGATGTGTTGTCATTTTCCATTCTGTTTTGTGGGAAAAGTACAAGAAAAATGTGGAAAATGTCTTGTAGTTTTGTGAACTGTTTTGCAGTTCACAAAATTATTGATTATTTGTTGGCTAGCTGAACCAGCTCATAACAGGATCTCTTGTTAGTGCTCTTGTGGGTGCATTGGTTTTTGCAATGTACAAAGGTGCCCAAATACTTCCCTGATAATTATCATATGAGAATTTACTCCTGAGTGAGCACAGATTCCACATGGTTTAGTATAATCTCTTGCTATGACAAGAAGACAGTCATGCTTTGCAAATATCACCACTGATGGCTGGATGTCCCATGGCCACTAAGACCCCTGAGCAGCTTCACAGTTTGAATGCCAAGAAAGAAGCAAATGAGGTCCAAAAGGTTGCCTTGCAAAACTGAGGAAACCTTTGAGAAGTTGACCTGTCAGTGGTGTGGGCAAAGCTCTAGAATGAAACATAAACTTACAGATCTGGTAGTGATCTATGAAGAGAGGAGAGGAGAAAAAATTATCACTTTTGAGTACTGAATTGAACATCTGTCAAACTCAGGGCCAGAGTAGTTCAAGACTGGGACTCTTAGTGTTCGTCCTTAACTTTATGCTAACTTTTTAATCAGGGATTCTTCCATCCTGTATTTGGATTGCATGGATGAACAAAACTCACTAGTAACCAGTGAGTCACTTGCTGCAGCATTTCCAGTGCAGAGGGCTTTGTTAGATGTAAAGCAGTTTCTGTGCTTAACCTCTCCAACCTGAATGTGTCAGGTAACTTACCCAAGGCACAGCAGATGGGAAGGAAACAACAACAGTGGTTTATATTTCAGGCTCAGTTAACTGGTGTTTGTAAACTGCTTGAAGTTATTTAGATGAAGGTGTTAAAGCACAGTAGAATGACAGACATGTAAGTTTAAAAAATAATGCTAATAAACACTCTCACCATCCCTTGAAAATATGGGTGTTATAACTCCCCCAGGAATTATCATTTATAATACACAAAGTCACTTGAGTGGGAAAACTGACACCAACTTCTCAATGTATAAAAATAGAAATAACAATCTTTCTCCAGCTTCTGAAGGAAATACATTGATGAGTTTGAAAAATTTAATAATTGGTATGAGCATGAGTGGGTGTGTCAAGTAAAGAATCTAATGAGAGAGAGGTAACGAGTGGGAGTGCAATAGGAAAGAAGACTTTTGCATCAATTAATTCTGAAAGTGGGAAAGTATGAAATGTCCTTGCACCTCCCGAGTTCCAGAGCTCAGATCTAATCCTGAAGAGAGGGAGATTGCCAGATTTTCTGCATGCTAGTTTGCAGTTCTGACGTTCCTACAAAGAAGAGATCTGGGAGGGCCTTTTTGTGCTGTTGAGGTTGTCACCTATTTGTACAACAGCGTCACTTCTGGCTCACCCGGACTGAGAGCTGGCAAAGAGCTTGTCACCTATGTAAACCCTTGGGTATGAACAGTATTGACCTGGGTGCAGCTCCACAGGAAAGGGCCTAAAGTGACAGAAACCAGCACTGATAAACTCCATTTAAACAGCTGGCTGAAAAGTTGCCATCAGGACTGTTGAACTGTCTGCTTATCCATATTTCCCAGTAAGTGGGCTTGATTGACAAAACCTTTTCCTGCTGCAGGATAGCCAGGTTCCTAAGGAACAGACCAGTGAAACACTCACTGATTGAAACAACCACAGGGAAATGCTGTTGAATATCAATTTTTCAGGTACCCACGTGTACACTCTGAATGGAACTGACCCAGAAGGAGATCCTGTCACATATGGCCTGACCTATGAAGCTGGATCAAGGCGTTACTTTTCTGTTGACAAGAATCTTGGAAATGTTACTTTGATCGAGGAGCTTGACAGAGAGGTACAATCAAATGGCACCACTCCAGGTGTTTGTGGAAATTCTTTCAGTTTAATTTGATCTGAGGCTTTGAGGGACAAAGCCAGTTTATTAGCCCCGGAAGCGTGTAATATTCTTTGCAATTCTAAGACATTATACTTCACCCCTCATGTTGCATTCCAGCTGACTTGTGCCACTAACATTCCTATCAAAATTTTCAGCAGTTGTCTGTCCAGCTTTTTTCAAAAGAGAAGTATATTCTTTATTTCTTATCTTCCCCCACCCACACCCCATCAAGAGCTTAGGGGCAACTACAGTCATTAAATCCTCAGACAGGGGACCCTCCTGTCATTAGGAAGAAGTAGAGATTTGTGTGAGCAGTGTTTCAGGACACTCCTCTAGTACATCATGCTGGTCAAAAATGCCTAAAGCCAGCCTTATTCTGGGAAGCAGAATAGGCATCTCCTCACTGAGAAGCTTACACTATATTTGGTAAACCCTTTAAAAATCTGTACACTGATACAGACCAATTTTGAATCAAAGTGCCATTTTGGGGAACATTTCTTGAAAAAGGTGACTGATTTTTATGAGCACTCTAGGAAGAAAGAGGGATTACCAGAGCAACCATCTCCTGACAGTAGCCACAGAGGGTTCAAGTAGCTGGAGCTTCTGAGGAGTCTTCCTGGCCTCTGCTGGGATTGCTCTGTGATATTAGTTGTTACTTTCATCTGCCTGCCTAGACAGGTTTAAATCTGCAGTCCCTTTTCCAATCAGGAAAAACACCATCTCTCTTACAAAAGAATTTTCTTCATTTACAGAAGGAAGATGAGGTTGAAGTTATTGTCAGTATTTCAGATGGCCTGAGTACAGTAAGTATTTAATTATGCTGTAACTTGTCAACTGTCTTTCCTCACATACCTACTCCTATTAAATTACCTTAAAAGGACCATCTCATTTGATCAGAAAACATAATCTCATTAGAGCCTTACCTCCTGTTCCAAGAGCCACTGAACTCACAGTTACTCAAGTCTCACTTCATCTCCTTGCTCAGCTATTTGAGGATAATTACAATGAAGTGTGAGCTGAAATACTGACTTAGCAGCCTGCAGAATTACAGCAGCTTCCTATGAAGTTTCACTGCCAGCACAGCCGGATTTGTGTCTAAGATCTGGAGGCTTTTTGGAGAAATGTGTGACATTATGGGAACTAGTGTTGGGTGCCCAAGAGCTGCCTGTCCCCACCCCCACAGTGTTTCTCTGGCATGATGTTAAGAAGATTTGCTTAGGCTAAGGTGGTGGGGGGTTTCTTGTCTGCTGCTAGATAAAGCTTTGCTCGTGTCTAATTAAGGACTTATCTGAGGCACTGAGCCTTCAGTCCTGTTTCCACAGATTTTCTTGGCATTTTTAATTTATGGACTGATGCTGTCAGGGCCAGGATGGCAGTCTGACAGTAGGAGGATGAGGGCTTCATCACTAGAGGTACCACAAAAGTGGGACCCTCTTCTTATCTACAAGACTGGATAAATCTAGAGCTCTTTCTCATCTCAAATAAATTAATTGAGATTATTACAAAAAATGTTTGGGATGTTCCAGCCTCCTACAGGCACAACTGCCCTGGAAGTCTCTGTAAAAAGGACATAATGGGATTCATAAATAATGGGAGTCATAATATGCTCTTCATATTCTATTCATGCTCCAGGTTTCTGAAAAAGTCAGGATCCTTGTAATGGATGCCAATGATGAGAGCCCAGAGTTCATCAATACACCTTACATAGTCCAAGTCCCAGAGGTGGGTGAAGTTCCTTTGCATACTGGAAATAAACTTCTATAGGATGTAAACAGGGGCTAATATGTTTTCAGTGAAATAACAAGTTGTGCAGGACAGACTTGCATTCTCTTGGTTTAGGGTTTGGGTAGATATTTAATATTCACTGCAAACTTGGGGAATAAGTCTGTAGGTATTTAAGGTGTGCTATTTTTGGGGTAAGTTCCAAGATGTGAGTCAATGTGAGTTTTTAGAATTGACTACAGGAATAGGATACAGCCAGTCTCAGCTGAAATGTTCTGTTATTTTTATTTCACAAAGTGTTTCTTCTTGTTTTCCAGTTTTAATCTCTTCCCTTCTGCTCTTTGGTTCCCTCAGTGCTTTTACATTCTTTCTACCATCACTATCTTTCTGCCTCCCTGCTTGCTCATTTTTAATTTCTTTTACCTCACCTGGTTTTCCGTTTCTGTGTGACTCTGCTAACTCTTTCTGGTCACAGAACACTCCCTCCAGCAGCAGTATCTTTAAGATTGAGGCAATAGACAAAGACACGGGTTCTGGAGGAAGTATCACCTACTTCTTGCAGGTAAAGTATTGTCTGTACCTTCACAAATCGTCTCTCATTTACTGAGATTTCAGAATACAGATTTTAAAATATTTTGGGGGTTGAGTGCACTTCTAGTGCCTATAGGGACCAGTTTTGTACCATGCACAAGAAAATAAACATTGGCAGAAGGGGTGTTGTCTGATTGCAAGCAGCCAAGGGTGATCCAGCAGGCAGCAAGGGGAGTTGGAGTTGCCACTGACACTCCTGTGCTTGCCAGCAGGACCCCCATGGCAGGGCTCTTACTGACACTTCTTTTGGAGTGACAGGGAGAGCAAGATTAGCTGGTAATCCTGTATGCTTATGGGATTTCTAAAACATGAAATAGCTTTCTTTAGGGAGCAAAACACACTGGAAACATAAATGTGCCCTTTAGTGTAGCAGGCTGGTGCATAATTGATACCTTGCATCACAGTGTGAAATGAGAGACACTAAATCTTCTCCCTGCCAAAGCAGTGACTGCCTGAAACCATCCTCTCAGCTGCTGCCCACTGGTGAAGAACTGAAAGGATTCCAGATTTAAAGCTGAACTTCTGTATTACAGATCTTCTGTATGCCACAAGGGCAATTTTTTGCATTATGTCCTTCAAATTCCTTCTTCCTACGGGCAGTTTCATCCAGGTTATCTGCAGTTCCCTTTATTCAAGAGGAAACATGAAAAAAAACCAAACCAAAAACAAAGCAAATTTATTGCAATATTTAATTTTGGATAAGAATATGGAGACAAGTGAGAAGATATTTACATAGCACTAAAGCTAATCCTGTTAAGAGCTTGGGTATACTGTGAAAGAACACCTTGAGTGTCTTGTTGAAATTTAGCTTTGGTTTCACAAATTATGATCCATATTCAGGATTCAGTTTTTTACAGGGCTTTTTCCAGAGAGCTGATAGTCTATGAACCAAAGGACAGCAATTTCAAAATTCTATGTTTATAGAATATAAATATAATTATGTATATTTATAATAATATATCATTATTTATAATTATATAAATAATTTTATAGTATATTTGTGTGGCAAAAAGGATAATAAATATGTGTATTTGTTGAAAAAATCTTGCCATATCTTTGGGCACAGTCTCTGAGAATTCTCAAGTTGCACAGAAAAAACCTTTCCATAAGTATGATAAAGGCAGGTGGTGATGTCTGCTGAAATAGCCAAGATTATCTGACTATGGCCATTGTGTCTGGATACAGGAACAGAGGTGTTTTTACAGGTATCTCCAGTTCAGAAGAATGGAGGAAGGCATTTTTTAGGCCTCTTTTAAAATCAGATGTCCTTTAGATTTTGCTTGTACATCACAAAAATCACAAGGCCACCACTGTGTTTGACAATAATCTATACATGCAACCTTCCTGCATTTTTTTAAACCAGTAGAACTTTGAAACACTAAGGTGTAACACCATTTCTTTTTTTCTTCCTTTTCCCTTCATCTTTTTTCTGTTAAGTCTCCCTACCTCTTTCCATGCAATTAACTGAGTTAACTAAAAGTGTAAGTTTTCACAACGAAATACTAAAAGATCAAAAAAAAAAATCTACATTACAAATAACTGATTTATTCTGAATAATGAGAGATGTGTGATTGGTTCATGAATTGTTCATAAACACACAGAGGTGAAATTCATCAAATACATTATTCACCCCAACCGTATCATTATTCTAGTCTTCTCCCTTAGCAGATGAAATAAAGGATGAATCCCTATGGCAATCCTATCTCCATATGTGTAATCTCTGGCTGGTTCTTTTCTTTTCCTCTAGAACATCCACACTAATAAGTTTACAATAGACCGTCACAGTGGTGTCCTGCGCATCAAACCAGGGGTCACCCTGGACTACGAGAAATCAAGAACACATTTTGTTGTCGTTGTAGCCAAGGTAAAAGGCTTTTATGTGAGGCCAGAGGAGGTGGGGTGTTGTGCTTGAGTGGGACTAATTAGTCTGAGTACAAGTGCTGCTGAAACATGAAGGCAGCAGAGTTACTCCTGCTGTAACATCTGGAGGTGTCGGGGGTAACGCGGAAAGGTGGGGGAGGAAAGGTAGCAGGTGTCTGCTGCTCAACAACATCTGGAGGATTTGGGAGGGGGTTCCCCACATTTCATTCATGTTCCCTGTGCCATGGGACTCACCTAGAAGAGAAGGGTTGGTGTGTCCAGCCCTGCCTTCAAGAGGCATCAGCCTGTGAGCTCAGGGCTCCTTATGCTGCCCAGCTACCACCACAAGGACAGACCCCTGGCAGGCAGACAGGCCACAGTCACTACCCATATTAAGACACAGGGCACACCTAGATACAGCACAAGTGATGGATTTCTTTTCTGGAAATATCTGTGAATGTTTCTTTTTTTCACTTCCTTGCTGCCTCATGCCAGGAGCTTATTTAAATCCTGCAAATATTGCTGCACATCCCTTCTTGCCACTCTCTTTCCCAGCAGTACTGTACCTGTGACTGCACATGCCAACAGGCACTAAAAGCTTATAGATTCTGAAGTCTCTCACAATCCTGTGGGGACCTGTCACACAGATTCACATGGATGGAAAGAGGGCAGTTTTGCTGTAACTTATGGGGACTTAGAGTTGCTCATGTTTTTTAAAAATGTATGGACCTTTTAATGTACTTTTAGCCAAGGTTCATTTGAGGAGAAGTAACAAAATTTGGCTTAAATTCTACCTTTGGGGCAGTAAGGAAGAAAAAAAAAAATCAGTTAATCTTTTAAAAAAATTGGAATTTTTAGAATAAGAACTGCAGACATGTTGAACAATTCACACTCTTACACACCAGCATGACTACTGACCTACAGCCGGTGCTCTGAGACTGAGGGTGTTAAAAGCTTCTGAAATAGCAAGTTGTCTTCCTAATTGGCTCTGCTGTACCAGTCGTGCAGAGCTGGTTGTACCAAGTCCCCAGAGACTGCTTACACAGTGTGGCTGTCTCGCAGGTTTTGGCTGCACAGCTCCTCTGTGCTTGCACTTTATCACATTGGAGTTCCTGGGAGACTTTCAGCATGTACACTGTTTATTTCCCTCCAGAGATGCACTACCTTGCTACTGTGCACTGCCTTGTGTTCATGACAAGACTCTATGTGGGATGAAAAGTTGTGTACCTTGGTCACTAACTTTTGTATCAGTTTCTAGCATTCTTTTTTCCTCAAAAGCCCTTGAATTCCCTGTCCCTTCTCTAAAGATTATTTATGACTGCATATATTGGCTCAATCATTTTTAATATAAGAAATTACTTATGAGGCACTGCAAGCTGTCTTCCTAATCAGAGGGAAAGCAGGACAAATGGAAAAGAGAAGGGACTAGGGCAGCACAGCTTAAATCTACACGTTCAGAGAGGGAAAGGATTCCTGGATCTGTGCTTCTGAAGGCTCATGAGGTCCATGCAATGGCTCAGCTGATTTGCAGGCATGCTTCAGCAGAGGCATATGACAATGACTTCTTTTCCAGGACGGTGGTGGGAAGCTCAGGGGAGACAACAAAGTCTTTTCAGCCACAACAACAGTTACTATCAACGTGGAGGATGTTCAGGACACTCCTCCCATGTTCATTGGGACTCCCTACTATGGATATGTCTATGAGGACACGCTCGCAGTAAGTTCTGGTTTTCATACGTGGGAGAACATGTACAGCCTTTCCCATCTAGCTCAATATGGCCCTAAGGTTTCTGGCCTAGGCTTTACTGGAAATAGGACCCAAACTCTGATTTGACTCCTAGGTGAACTGAGCTGACCAAATCTCACACTTGTTCTTCCTTATGTCTACTGCAAATTTGTCATGCAAGGCTTCCTGTTATTTTCATTGACATCAAAAAGGATTCTGCCCATTTGTATTGGTCTAAACCCAGACAGTGAGTAAGAGCTCTTCTGTAGCTCAGAGCTCCAGAGGCACTTGGCTGAAGGCTTAGGCTGCCAGTCACCTCACCTGAACACATTGTGTTTAAAAGCCTTCGTGTGTCTGTTCACTCTGTGGTCTCACAGTGCTTTTATTTTCTTGGTCAGATCAGTCTGCTACCCACAGTTGGTTGTACAAGGTGCAGACAGAATTTATGCCCAAATACTCAAGACTCTCTGTGTTGTCCCATGGATATCACCTGGGGAGAAGCAACCTTGACATCCCCAAAACGCAGGATGCTTTCTGCTCAGTGATGGCTGGTTAGGCAGGATGGGCCAGGAAGGCCTCCTAGGCCTAAACTCAAACAGATTATCAGTCAAGCAGGGACATAATGAGGAGAACCAGTCATTTTCAGCCATGTATTTTTGAAGCTACAAACTAATGAATTTTCTCTATATCTAAGCAGTGGCATCATTGTGTATGGATCAGCTTTCACCCTGATCCATAAGATTTGATTAAAATTTTCTTCATATATAGGACAAGAAATGGTATCTACCCATGAAATTACCCAACATTAGACTATTGATCAGTTTAGCAGTGTGATTGCACTCTGCTCATTTGAACTTCCCTTGAGTTGCTGGAAAGATTGTCTTACCTTTCTGTCCAGAAATGTGCACTGCAGCCCATGCATGACTCTATACTGCAGTTCACTGCAGAGGCTGTTACATTTCAGCAGGGCAGAGAAGTAATGCTCATGTACTTTGCAGGTGTTTAAAATGAGTGATATTATGTGTATTGATTTATTCTGCATAGTTACATATAGATCTTGAAATAACTATCAGGTGCACACAGGAGTTAGTGTTTACTATGGAAATGAGAATCAATAAATGTTAATTACATCCACCTTGAGCTCATAACTTACACCATTATGATACAATGATGGAAGCACGAATCAGTCTTCGCTGTGTGGGTTTTGCCATTACAATGAGCTCCACAGAGAAAGAGGCAATAGCTGATTTTAGTGGTGTTTGTGCATTTGGTGTTAATTTTGTAAACTTGCTTCTTTTCTCCTTGGTGGAGTTGTCAGGATTTACAAGTACTCTGTCACCTTCAAAGGGACTGCACTGCATTTTGCCCACTAGGCAGATTTTATTGCTGCTTCCAGCATAAACGATAATAAACACAGTTCTGTATTTCCAGTTGCTTTAGCAGAGCCTTGCTCTTGTTTGAAAAATTCACTCAAGGGTTATCATGAAAATGTTCCTTGTTGCCATTTGTGATTCACTGACAGTTACTTCAATGTTTCCTGGTTCTGCAGCCTCAAACAGTAACGCTTTAGTTCAGAGGCCTGAATTGTACAGCTCATTGCCACTTGGGTGAGCATTTTAATGTGACACTGATCATCCCTCTGAGCTGATAGGAGCAGTCACATGAGCAAATGCTCCTCAGTACACAAATTCTGTACGTATGGCCCACAGCCACGTTACTTGTGCAGAAAGACAGACAGTGAAGGTTTAAGGGCAGTTAAATCACCATCATTTTCATCACAATTTTATGCCCTAGATGTTCTGTGGGCCACGTTTCTCTTTGATCTCTGTTTGCTTCTACTGCCTCTCTGAACTTAATTAGGAAGGACCAAAGTGACCCAATGACCTCTTGGCAGCTGCCTGTGTCTCAGCACACTGTGTGGCCATGGGACACAGGAGCCTACAGAGAAGCAGCCAGAGGGAATCTTGGTAGTGCTCCAAACTAAACTTTGGGTTTCAGATTGGCTGCTCCAAATCCTCTCTCCACATCTGTGGCTCCAGGCAGGTGTCCTTGGCCACAGCTTCCAGCCATTCCTGTGACCAGCCAGCCCCCAGGGCTGAGGCACCCGTGGCCACGCAGGGTCTGCAGCCATTTCACACCTAGAGCAGTGGGCACTGGCCCTTTCTGTGCTCCCCATATGGCACAAGCACAAGTGCCCACTCTGCCCCCAGTGCTTCACTGCAGAAAGACTTACAGGAGTTCAGTTTATTAATGTGCAGTTGCAATTTCACTGCTCTAATCTCGGCACACAGACTCTGATTTCCCATTTCTCCCCAGGGCTCTGAGGTCCTTACTGTTGTTGCTCTTGATGGAGACAGAGGAAAGCCTAACAGTATTCATTACTCCATCGTGAATGGTGAGTAGGCTTGTTTCATATGAAATTTGAAGGGCACTCAAAACTCCATCTGGCATTAAATTAGAACAGAATATGCTAGAGTTTAATAAACCTGAGACAAAATCTCAGGAAATAATGTCAGGTACCTCAAACAACTTCAGGGCCCTGTCTAGCAGAGAATAGCCAAGATTCAATTCAGTGAGTTTTAGTATCTTTTTCACAGAACTGTGCTTGGAGCTGTTAATGTTGCTGATTTGTTAGGCATCAGTAGCCTGCTTGTCATTTCAGAAAGTGTAAAGGGAGATGCATTCACTCTTCTGAGCATCTCTATCACTTAATGTGAGAGGTGAGATAATTCATTGGGAGACCCAGACATGGCATTTGGAGAGATATTTTTATTAATACAGTGATGAAAGTTGCTAAACAGTCAAACCTCTGATTACTTGGAAGAAATTATATTTACCAGTGAAGAGACATTGGCTGTACACTGAAGTGGAAGAAAACAGATGTTACCAGAAGATTAATGCCTTCCATGAGCTATTCTGAGAGTGTCTGTCACACATTTTTTAATAGCATGAATGTGAAACTTAGTGGAATTGGTGATTCATTAGGTGGTGAAGACAACAGCTTAGAGCAACTAAACTCCAGGCTACAGCTTTGGGGATTTTAAGTTTTATACACTCTCCCTTCCAAAACAAGGCTTCTGTAGCAACTGGGCACCCCAACTGTCAGGTGTGAAAGATCCCGAAACATCCTAAGAGAAATCTGAGATGTAGCTGAAGAGCTGTGGAGTAAGTGCTTCATTGTGTCAAGTGATCTAAACAGCCAGAACAGAGATACAGCTGAGTTTTTGTATTGGTGTGGGATGAGATCCATGCTGAGGTTCCTTCTTTATGTGAGGAAATAAACAGGTAAAAGAAAGGTAGAAACATCGAGGAAAAGAGAGTTGCAGAAGACAATGGATGAAAATGAGAAAAGGTAAAAAGAAAGGTGCAAAGAACAAGTAAGTGGCATGAAAATATGCTAAATAAGGGAGAAATTAAGTAAGGAGAACAAGTGAAGGCAGAAGAACCAGGGAAAATCTCAAAGGGAAGTAAGATTAATGAGAAAAGATACCAGGTTGTCAGAGAAAATAGAGAAGGACCAAAAGGCTTCTCTGGGATAAAAAAAAGGTAAGTGTTCAGGAAAGAGTGGGAAAGGAAGATGAAAGGGGATAACAGATAAGTAGAACAAAATATAACTTAATGGGGAGCAGGCTTTTCTCATGCCCATTAACAAAGGGCTTTGTTTGTGTGAAATGGAAAAGAGGGGAAGGGAATATGCTTTTAGTGCATAGAAAGTTGAAAAACAGAGAACAGAAGATTGCAACAGGTTTCTGCCCCTGCACCTCAGACACTGGCATTATTTTTGACAAGCCCTTATTCCAATAACGGCAGGCTGGGATGTTAAAGGACAAGAAAACAGAAACAGCAAATAGGCAATTGTTTGTTCTTAATAAGCACGTGTTATCCCAGGAGTGTGGAATAATGATAGGAAATGCCCAATCTTCTGAACATGCTGTCTGGAGGAATACACATACTGCTACATGTGCTCCAGGTTACCCGTTTCCCTGGGATAACTAGACAATAACATGAAGTATGGTGGTTTGAAACCACTATTGACTTAAGCTTCTTCTCAATCAGAATGTATTTTGCAGGCCAATGTATCTTAATAATTGGGTATTGTGAGTCAATATCTGTTCAATGTTGTGTCTAGAGTGCTTTAATGAAGTTGCAGTTATTGGAGGTATTAGCAGAAGAGGATACTATCGGATGGTTTAAAAATCAGCATTGGAAATGAGTTTGAGGAAAAGAACAACAACTGGGCTTTCAGGTCATCATCCTTTATTTCTGAAGGCTTGATCTCCTCCTACATTTAAAGGGATTTCTTCTCTTTTCCTTTCAATGGTAGGCTGCCACAAAGCACAGGATGTGGCCAATACTTTACATGAGGCAGCATCAGGGCTGCCCTTCCTGGGCACCAGCCTGCCCTTGGCTGTGATGTGAATCCTGAATCCTGGTGAGACACTGCAGCCTCTTTGCAAGCTGGCATTTGCTTCAGCACAAATACACCAACCTCAATAGACTGCTGCCTGGAACTGGTATTGTCTCCAGATCAATGGAAGTTGGGTAGCAGCAGCAAAGTCAGCCTGCAGCCCTGTCCTGCCTCTGTCAGACTCTGCCTCAGTTCAGAAACCTTGGGGTTTACCCCAGATACTCCAAAAAATCCTTATTGTTCAGGAAAGCCTTGCAACAGGCTGAAAGCTTTTTTTTTGACAACTCAATGTTTAAAACCAGAAGACACTTCTCCAGAGATGCTGTCTGAGGGAAGTGACTGTGTTTCTTTTTGGCAGGTTGTCAGGCTTCTCACCTTAGCTGATATTAGTGAGAGAAATGTTCTTGTTTCTCAGACTTAATTAAGCATTTGCTAATTACAATGACAAATGTCTATTTTTGTCTAAACCAGCATATAAAGAAGGCAGCATAATAAAAACTAATACCAAACTTGCATGCCTGGATGCTGAGGCTTGAGAGGAGCCCAAGCAGGATGGGAAGAGGAAAATGCTGACATAAAATGTTGCCCATAAGGGAGGAACTTCACTGTGCCATTCCTGGGGAGGAAGCCCTTTTAGACCCTCATCTGTGTTTTCATCTCTCTGTGACCAGTCATAGAAATCCTTCATTTTTGAAGAGTGGTTTCAGATCTACTGATACATATGGATACACATATGGACTAAAATGTGCTTAATGAAGTGTACAGTTGATTTGCCCATGTTGTTCAAAGAAAGAAAGTGTGGCATGCAACCAGAGCATCTTGTTTTCATTGCAGGAAGTGAAGGTTCATTTGAAATCAGCAACACCACTGGAGCCATTTCTGTGATAAAAAGCCCAAATCAGCTCAAGAAAGAAGTGTATGAACTAAAAGTTAAGGTAGGTACTGTGGCCACTTTAAGACTATTGGTCTAAAGTGCCATGAGTAAGCATGATTGTCTAAAATTGTTCAATTTATAGTTGGCTTTACCTGTTTCAGAAACTGTATCTGAACAGAGTGCCAAATAGTATAAAGCAGCACTAATTGGTTTTGTTGAGATGTTGGGATATTATTGTTGGGATATGTAATATCTCAAATTACTTCTTTCAAATGAAATTTCATCTCTCAGGCTAGAGAATCAATGTCCTTTACAGTCCATAGATACCTGTTCTCTGTGTTTCCAGATTTTATTGCTAAATTAGTGTCTTGACACCTCCATGTTATGAGATAGGTCAAATCTATGACTGGTAATAGGACTGGGAGAGATCATGCAGTGTCATGTCAGCACCCACTCCTGAGTCACTCATCAGCCACACACAAATACGTGCTCACACCTTGATGAGCCAACACCTCCATGAGCCAGTACTCATGTGACAGGCTGTGTTATTTTAAGCAGTTTCTAAAGAAAAAGTGTTTAAAAATGTAGAATTACATTGTGAAGACTGTATCAGTTTTCTTCAGCACATTAGAACTGTATATTATTGTTATGGCAAGGACAATACTGACTTAAAGGCAGCTTTGAGGAGTTGCACACTGCCAGAATCAGTGTGTAGCTCCCCCTTGCTTGCTCCTGGGCTCAAGCAGGGCAGGTACAGGTACAGTTACCTGGGAGAACACAGAGTTCTCATGGGCTGAGTTAAACTCCAGCACCATTTCTTCCTCTATCAGCTCTGCTTCACTGCAGTCTACTACCACTCCCCAGATGCAGAATGCATTAAAGCCTTGCAGGCTTTTCTGATCTCCTAATTATGTATGTAGTGACCCAGAGCTTATGCAGGCTGCAAAAGCTGCTAGAGGAACCAAAAGGGTGTTATATCACCCAGAATATACAGTGACATATTCCCAGCACCTCAGTTGCCAGACTAGTCTCTTTGGAGAAAGTGCCTTTGGTTTGGAGCCCTTTGAGCAAAAAGGCATGTTAGATATAGCTGTTGGGACAAAAATACGAGCCAGTTTCTGTCCTGGCAGAAGCAATGTCTCAGGTTCAATCCAGTGAATCAGGCTGCGTGTTGCAGTTGTTGAAACCCAGACAGATTTGATCTTCTGGTTCAGAAAAATACCAGCTAGGTTTGCCTGTCTGTCTAAACTATATGCACCTTAAATAAAGCTCATCTAAACACCACAGCAGAATTTTGAATTGGAGACTAAATTAAAAAAAAAAAAAAAACCACCAAAAAAAACCACCAAAAACCCATGCACTTTTTCAAATATTTAGCTAAATGCCACAAGTAGAGTTTTTCTCACAGTATTAAAGGCTGCAGTCCTTGCAGCAATGAGACAATGAACTGCCTGTGGTACCACACTGTCTTCTTTTTCTATTCTATCAACACTTTAGGCAAGCAATTACCTTACCACTATTGGATTGTTTTTAGAGAACTGTTTTCACCTAGAGTGAGTTACTAAGATGACAAAATTAGAGGGAGAATCAACTGGGGCTCTACTGGGAATGGTTTATTACCATAATCTTCTAATCATCATAAACTTAAGCGTGAAATGGACTGAGGTTTTAGAGAAATATAAGTCTATGAATCTTCCTACAAGTTAGAGTGCTTTGTACATGTGGAATAATACCTGCACTTGAATCTGAAAAAGGAGAAAAATGCTTCATCATTCTTTTCTTCCTCTTGCCTGCTGCAGGCATCAGAAGTCAGTCAGGAAGGTGACATCTCTGAGCACACATTTGCCATGGTGACCATACGGGTGGTGGACCTCAACAACCATCCACCAACGTTCTATGGAGAAAATGGTCCCCAGAACAGGTTTGAGCTGACCATGTACGAGCATCCCCCAGAGGGTGAGATCGTACGGGGACTGAAGATTACAGTCAATGATTCAGATCAGGTAAATGGAAACTATGCAGACTTTCAGTTTTCCTGTCCTGTTTTCTTAAAGACTAGAAAGAGCTCTTGGATGGAGAAATGTCATTTTAGACATTCAACTGTTTCACCTGCATTCCCTAAAAGCCTAGGACAGATGAAGTAGTGGTAGGGTCCAGTATCACAGAGAGACTAGATCCAGGAGCTCAGTCTCTCATGTACTGTTAGGCCAATGGGAAGGGTGGTCCTAAACCTTGCCAGGTCTTGTGGCAACTGAAGTTGAACAATCCTTGCGAACTTCCCTGACTGCTGGTTGTGTTCATTTGTTGCCAGTGTATTGTCTGAGAACATACTCCCTTTGAAGATTTTCTTGGAGTTTCCAAGCCCTTTAGTAACTTCAGGTGCAATTACTGTCTGCATCTTCTTCTGGCCCTTATGTTACAGTCAGGGTCTGCAGTGCATGCTTTGATTAATCATTCCCATTGGAATATTTTTAGGTACTCTTAAAAATTATGCCCAAGCCAAACTAACTCTTACCAGATCAAGAAAAAGGAAAGAAGATTCCATCCATGTCAGCCTGCTGTCTAACTGACCTGTGATGCCTGTAGGTACTATGGCAGTGGTTGCTATAGGGACCCCTAAGCTAAAAACTGTATGAATGACATCCATCTGAGTTAGCCTCTGGTTAGGTAGTGACAAGAAAAAAGCTTAATGCATCTGAGAATTGTATTACTATTGGAAAGAACTCTCTTCTGTAACAGTGCTCAGTATTGTGCTGGTTTGATGGTATTGTACTTTATCAAACCCACTGGCTTCTTCCCCCTCCCTCCTGCTGCTCTGAAGCGAGCAGATAAATGACTGCTTTCAAAGCAGTGCTATGTCTATCCTGCTATTGTCATGGGGGATGGTGCTGCAGAAGGGGAGAAACAAAACCCATCTCTTTAGAGACAAAATATATATCTAGGCTGACAAAATATTCAGGCTGCAAGTTAGGCTATAAAATAAGCAGAAAACACTGATAAATACACTGTATAGATTTCTCAAGAAGCTTCCTAGTACAGTGTAAGGCATCACTCATGGGGGGGTGGGTTGCTTTTCTTCTAAGGCAGAGAACGCAGTGTTTTTCCTTCTATCCGAGATGATTCTATAGAGAAGAAAATTAAACATGTCTCTGTCTCTGTCACAGCTGCTAGAGACTCTTTCTTTTGGGGAGTGGATGATCCAAGTGAGGAGGAGGAGGAAGCTGTGGTTAAGGTCTGGTTTAGGCCTACAGATTGATGGAAATGTCATGCTTACTTGCAAAAAAATTATACAGAAATTTCTCTCCCAGACCTCTTCAGTGTGGCTTAGGACTGAGTGCTGCTGTTCCTTCAGTCATTCCTGTGTCCCATGGCTGTCTGCTTGGAGACATGCAGCAGCATGGCTGGCTCTGAGCAGATCTGGGTTCAGTAGACATCAGTGGCAGAAATCACTCAGCTGTTGGAGGGAGCAGTTCTGTCCCTGTCCCATGCCACCCTTCTAGTCATGTACGGTCCCATGTGCCACACACTTTGTGTACTGTCAGACTGTCCACTCTTCCCATCAGCACTATTTTCCATAGCCCAGCAGCTCTGGCTTTGTTGGATTTACCACCCAGCAAAAGAGAGCCTGTTGTCATCTCTGTAGTTGGGGAGTGGGTTTGTGTGACCAAAAAACACAGACTGAGTTTGGATACAAGGTCATTCTGTTTCCCTTAAGGGACTACTGCTGAATACTTTTTCTCTTGGCATGAACTAGGGCTGCTCAAGAACTGCTCATAACAAGCTCTCCGGGGATACAACTGAAAGTAAAGTTGTCCTGTTTGAAAGTTATTATTAGAAATTAATAATCTCAAGATTTATGCTACAGGCAGAATGTGGCACCAGGCAGGCAGTGAATCTGGCTGTTTGTCAGTGTAAACATGACACTGAGAAACTGGTGAACCCAGAGAGTTTGGTGAGGTAGGCTCAGCTCATTTTCACATCTTCCCTGTAAGGCAGAAATATGAGAATCCCCCTTTCATCTTTCCTCTTACATGCTCCAGTTTGGTTTAAAAGAATTAGCCTGGCCAGCTGGCTCTGGCACACTCTTCCCAACTTGCATACAAGTGATGATAACCTTTCAGATACTGCTGCTTCCCATGTTCTCTCTGGCTAGAACGTTTATCTGTGTAAGGGGATTTGCTCTCTCACTTCACCTGGAGCTGTCAAGTGTGTGTCAGATTTTGTCCTGCACAAGTGGAGCTCCTCTCTCCCCACAAGTGCATCAACTTCCAAAAGATTTGGTGTTTTCATCTCTGGGCTAGCTTAATCCAATCAGTGAAAAACATGATACTCCACATCTCTTTGAAAATTACCTTTGTGATTCTGCATCTTCATCATGCAGAATGCATGAAGAACAACTCACACAGCATGTAAGTTATTAGGACACAGATTGGACATGGGAAGTGTACAAGGCCAGGCTGGATGGGGCTCTGAGCAACCTGGTCTAGTGGGAGGTGTCCCTGCCTGTGGCAAGGGGGTTGAAATGATCTTAAATGTCCCTTCCAACCCAAACCATTCTGTGAGACTGGGTTTGTGAGCATTGTGTTGTCCTTACTGGAGCAGTTCAGTTGTGTTTCCTTGGTAGGAAGCAGGAAGAGGCAGGATTTCCCTGCCAATATGCATGTGGTGTCATCTCTGTGTAGCTTCCAGTGTGTGGCACGAAACCCAAGGCTGCTTGCCACAAGACTCCTCTCTTAGCCAGGCCTGCTGCAGGGTTTTTCCATTATGACTGAAAGAATAACCAAGCTTGTCAATCTATTTTAAGAAAAGCTGTGTCTGTCTTGTGACTAGGGCTGGAGGGATTATACAACTAAGCTTCTTAGTGATCTCCTGCCCAGGGGATGGAGAGCAGAGGGCTCTTAGCAGTAAGGCTTGTTCTCATTTTATGTAGTTTGAAGAAACAGAGCAATCTAGGCTGTAAGAAACATGACATTACTGAAAACAATCAATGTCATATCTGCTTTTATTAACAGGGAGCCAATGCTAAATTCAACCTCCGTCTTGTTGGACCTGGTGGCATCTTCCGAGTGGTTCCTCAGACTGTCCTGAATGAGGCTCAGGTTACAATAATAGTGGAAAATTCTGCTGCCATTGACTATGAAAGCTTCAAGGTGTTAACCTTCAAGGTACTTCTGCTTTCCATGTCCTCTCTTTCAGTGTATGCAGTATGAGTAGGATGGCTTTTGTATCTGATGTGATTTAGCTTCTTAATCCACCCAGAGCTGTCTGATGCATTATCAGAGACATGATAGTCCATGCAAGGGAAACTCATTTCTGCCACTGGTTCACCACCTTCACAAGGTTTAATGGATGCATCTGTGGACTGATTTAGTCCAGTCAGTGCAAAATGTTGATTTTTTTGTGTCTCTCTGGAAACTGTACATGTTGGTGGCTCTGAATCATTCTAGACTGAACCCTCAGGGTGCTATTTCTGCACTCACAATGATACATTCAGAGGATGAAATCCTAATTTCTCTGCAGCAAGAACTTTACCTACTTAGTGCTAAGTAATTTGATTCATGATCATGCTTTTGGATGTTGGCAGCCTGAAGACCCCAGCTGACTGGAAGATAATTCCCCAAAATTGCTCACTGCCTTTGTCAGAGTCTATCTATCTATATAGCCATTTGCAGGCTGACCTGAGGCTCACCCATGCTCTAAACCAGCTCTGCAAGAACCAGTTTCATCCAAAAGCTGGAACCTTGCATTATTACCTTCCCTGATGGATTCTTTGGCTCATCAACAAGATAACTAAGTAGTCTGGTTTTCTGTCAGCTGCCTGACATGAGCGTAGATGTTTCAGTTCTGATTGCAAAGAACTGCATAGACAATCCCTGTAATCATTTTAAAAAACTGCCAAAACAATCTAGCTGAACATTAACATATGTATCGTAACATACAGAGAGGAGCATTTTTTGCACAGTCCAAAAGCCAAAATTCCACAATTTTGTTCTCCCCCTTGCTGTGTGGTTTGCTCTGTGTCCTTAGCAAGCTTCACTTCAATGTGTCAGGCCTCTTCTTGCAATGTTGCTAAGCCATTTTGAGCTTTACAGGTTATAGATGCTACAAAAATATGAGGCATCATTACTGCATTAAAGTGGAAGATTCTGAAAGGGCCATAAAGTGCTACTGAAACTAATTATAACAAGCACACATTTATTCAGGTTAAACTACCAAAAGACCAGTAAAGGAGTTACACATGGCCTCCTCATGAATGCCAATAGAAATCAAAGTAGTTAATGTGATTGCCATGAACACCAAAAGAATTAATTACCAGGAAAAAGGATATATATTTTTATAGCTTAAGCAGCTATTATTTTGTTTAATTCTTTCTACTGGAGAAAGACTTTTCAAAATTATTTCCACTGGAGACTATAAGACTTGGCTTAAAAAGTGCAGCCTTTTTCTGGATTCCAAAGGGAGAAGGTGCAGATGGATGATATGGTAGCAATATATGGCAGCAAATACTTTATAAAGACCTCATTGCTGGCTTCACTTTCCTGCAAAGTTCAAATCCCTTCCTACCCAGTTTTAGTTGTCAGTGTAGTCATTCTGGTTAGAATTTTGGATGAAATATATTTCTATTTAATGTGTGTCTCACAACAGCTTTGAGAGGTTATCTTCAGGGTTTTGGTTTTTTTCTGTAAGCAATGATCCCTCTCCTCTAGCTCATTTTTGAAGAGTAAAATGCCAGAGAGTAATTAAAGCTAATTTGTCTAGAAGATACACTGAAATATTTTCTGAAGCAAAGGCTGCTAGAGAAACCTATCTTCCATTTAGTGCTGGCTCTTAAATGTAGGTGGTAGTCAGGAGTTCCTTCATTTTCAACTGTCTAAGAGCTGAAAAGGGTTTCCCAGAGTACTGCAGCTATGGTAATCCACACATCTCTGCAGTCCCTCTGCCACAGGGGCCAGATATTGCTGTCCCACCTTGTTGGGGGCTTCCATGCTTTGGGGGCAAACCTCCTGCCTCCATCTCCTTCAGATTAGAGCACATCCTGCCTTGGCAGGAGCTTCCAGACACTCACATCTACAGCCTGGGACCAGGTGAGGCTGAAATTATCATCAGCTGCCAAAATCAAATTCTATTTTAAAAATTTACCTACCACTTTTAAGACTGCATGTCAGTTTGCTCTTCTGGCACCTAAGTATGAATTGTTGATATGTAGTCCCGTGAAGCAATAGTTTTACACTATTTTTTTTTTCTCTCTGCATGAAACAAACAATACAGGTCTGCATAAGACAGTGCAGGCAAGTAAGCTGACAAAATTTCTTCCCTGAAGGAAGATGTTGTCAGCATGTTGACATAGCAGGACCATGGCTGCTTAAAGGAGAGGGAATAAAAAATCAGTGTGGAAAACAAAGTAAAAATACTGAGCTTTCACAAGGTATACTGAGATGGACTGATTGCAGCAGCAGAGATGATTTAACTGCAGATGTTATAATTTAGTAATGGCTCCATATGCACAATCAGCACTCAGGTTTTACCTCTGTACTGCTTTAGGAGCTGAGATTTCTCATGAGGAGGTTTTTGCTGATGTCTGCATGGCTGTCCCTTCAAAAATTTCTTGGCTGTAACACCACCTGAGACTCCCAAACACAAAAGTTAGCACAGCAATGGAGTGACCAGGCTCCCCTTTTGGAGCAGCAGTGTCCTGCAGTAATTGCAAGCAATCCTTCGAGATCATTTCTTCTCTTTTTTTTCCAAGCATTATAAATGTGCACACGGCAGACACAGCTCTAGGAGATGACACTGAGATAGCCTTTTCCCTGTCTACTTGAACAGCTCCTCACCCTCTGCTTTCACCTTGAGGTGATACAAATTGTCCAAATCTGGCAGAGCAGAGGCCGGAGTGTGTGTCCCCCAGGCAGTCGCGGATGTCCCTGCTGGGGAGCATCACTCACATGCCCTGTGGCCCTGCACACCCAGGATGAGCTCCCGCAGCACCAGGGGAGCAGGGGGTGCTGGGGCAGCCCTGCTGCTCCTGCCAAAGCTCACTAAGGCACCTCTCTTTGTGGGAGCTCCTGGGACACGTCTTCTGGTAATTAAAACCCCTGCAGCCAGATTTCTCAGCTGAGCCTCTTAGATCTCAGTTCACGTCCTGCTCAGTAGTCTATTAGTGGTGTGCTGTCTTCTTAGAGCCCTCCTGCCTTGTGTTAACTATGTCTCTGCCCACGCATGAAAACCAAACATTAGACCATTGTTTTTGGTGTTAGCCATTAGGGCTCAGCCCCCACAGAGCCCAAGACTGATGGCTTAGTGCTGATCCTGTGTGCTACAGACACTGTGAAGGTCCCAGTGTCTCTCAGTACCCATTGTTGAAACTGCTCTTTCTGGCTAACAGAACCACCACACACAACCTGAGCTTGCTGCTGTACCAGCTGAGGCATCCTACTGATGCTCCCCAAATCCAGTAGATTTTGCTCAGTAAGGAGCAGATAGATACAGTAAATACTCAGTTTACTCTATGCCATTGCCTGTCCTTTCAGATGAGCAGTTATAAAAATGTGTGATGTCAAAGAGCTCTGTTCTTCTCAGAGACAGTGAGGCAATTCAAAAGCCCTCATTTTATCTGATTAAGTCCTAATCAGCATGAGGCAACAAGGGTAGAAGTGCCATGAAGTCAGTAGTAGAAGTCCTCAGAATCTCTTGGAAATGGGATTCTGCTGTACATGCCTGACAATCCAGCATTTGGGGTGGGAAAAATGCTGCTTCAAAACAACTGGTTCCCTCATCTTTTTACCCTGTTTGGTGCACTTTATTGTTCCTGACTTCTTTCTTGAGGAAGAACTTTCTCTACAAAAGATCACAATTAAGTTTATGTAGTTATTCAAAATAAATCAGTGCTTATGTTTCCCCAAGTTCTAGGAGCTGAATGGGATGATTGTTTGTTGGCTTCTGTTATGGTTTTTGGATGTGTGTTGGTTAGTTATGACCAGTCACATCTGTCACATGAAGTCTAGTATGAATACACGGGTTTGAAGGCCTCTTGACTGCCCATCTCAAGCAAGTACACAAAAACAAGCCGAGGACACATGCTGACCTGGCTCATCATCTCCCTAGTTCTGAGCTGTCTGGTCCAACCAGACTATTGTGCCATGGGTGCCATTGTGCCATGGGTGTAGAGGAAGTTCCTTTAAGAGAACTAATAGCTGCTTTGTAGTGATGTCTGGTTTTTCTCTTCTTAGCTTCTTGCAATAGAGGTGAACACACCGGAGAAATTCAGCTCGACGGCTGACGTGGTGATTCGCTTGCTGGACACCAATGACAATGTGCCCAAGTTCTCCTCTGACTACTACATTGCCAGGATCCCTGAGAACTCCCCAGGGGGCTCCAATGTAGTTGCTGTTACAGTAAGTTTCATTTATCTCTTAAGAAATGTTCTCTTTTCTGGGTGTCTGTGGAAACAGTTCAAGTACCTTAAAAACAGCGGACAGGGCAAATAGCAGATCTTACTCAACATTTGACTTCTGGACCAAACTCCAATTCCTTTCTAGAATCAACCCAAAAAAGCCACTTTGGGAAAAAGTAAAGTTTCAGACAAATATTATTGAGAACAACAAGGGCCATCTGCTTTTAAGACAAATCACATGGCCTCGGAGTATTAAGAAAGCCTCAGCCAAATCAGTGTCCAGTGGGAAGATTCAGTTATGGCTAAGTGGAATTGGATTTACTGGATTTGTTTGCTTAAGTATGAGTAAAAAGAAACATGATGGCTGCTTAGTAGGTATTAGTCTCCTCCTCTTGGGAGGAACCTGGCTGCTAAAGGAATAATTAAACAGTTAATGAGGGCAAGAATATAAAATTAAAGTGCTTAGGACTGGGAAAAAAAGATCCCTATGTATGTATCTTCTCACGGTGGGAAAAATATGCTTATAGATTTTCCAGTATCTTGCATTTTCATACAAAGAAAGTCAGGGTATTACACGGGCCTTGAGTGCTGGAGGAGCATTTCCAGCTGCCTCTCTCTAATGAAACTACTGAGACTGGAAACAGCCCTCATGTCACAAAGCCAAGAAATCTCCTGGCCACCTGGGCCTTGGTGGGGGATGCAAGTCACCTTGCAGAGGCCACACAGGTAGGGATAGTGGAGGCAGGTTGCCAGAGGTCTCCAGTACAAGCTGGCAACAAGCAAGAAAGACAAATAATCAGAATAATAAAGTGCTGAAGGCAAATTTTAGCAGTGGAAGAAACAAAGAACTGAAACATAAATAACAGAGAAAAGGTTATTGCATGAAACTAAGGAAATATATTAGAAACTCTTAAACATAACTATCTTTGAGGTAAGAGAAATAAAAACACTCTAGGATGTGGGCAGCAAAAAAAATAAGAGATTTAAAAAATGTTTGCAGAAGCAATAAAACTTCTGAGCTAAAGTGCACAGGAAAGTGTAGCTGAAGAAGCCCATGTAAAATTTAGTCATGTGCTGTCAACTCAGTACTTGACCCAGATTCACAACTATATGTGAAAAACTAAGATGTTTCAAGTACTCAGAATGGCAATTCTGGAAGAAGTCCCAGGTATGCAGATGTTTTAAGTGAAGTTAGACAGTACCAAACTAGGCTGCAGTCAAAATCGTGGGGTGACAGAATCTGACAAGCTCATGCCAAAGAACAAAACTACAGCTACCAGTAGGGCTGCAGGTGTGTTATGTTAATCATGCAGGAATCAAAGACATTGTTCCAGTTCTCAAATATTTAAACAGGAAGATGAATGAATGAGCCAGCACCACCATGATTTTTGATGGCCAGATACAATGCTATAACACCTCCTCAGTGCTATCAGAGGAGCAGGAGCTTATGGAAATAGCTGCTACCAAATCAATAGCTTTCCTAAGCCTGAGCTAAGAAAGGAAGCCAACAAGAGTATGAAGCTAAGATATCATCTGGTAACAGTATCTGCATTATTAAAAGTCACACAGGCACAAGAGTGATTAAAAAATAAAGAAAGCTGAAATACAATGTATGGATTGAAACATTTGTTATTCATTACTATAAATTGACTCAATTAAACAAGCAGAAGCTTAAAAATACAATATATAAAGTAAATAGCTTTGTCCAGGGAATATTCATTAATGTTTAACTGATAATTAGGAAGGTCTGAGAGCTGGCAGTGTGTTCATGTCATTGAGATTATCTCCATCTCTATCAGAGGAGGATGAGGTAACTGTGGATGCATGGGGCCACCTAGCGTCACTCACTGTGCCACAGCCCCCGGGCACCAGGGACAGTTCCTGGGGCTGGCAGGATGTTTTCTGTTGTGCACTTCCTAGGTGCATATTTCCTCATGCGGTTTCCCACTAAAAATGTGATGGCAAAGAGAGTGAAAAGTATTTGGGCCTGTTGTTAAAAGAAGAATGAAACAGTTCTTTTTCCATTTTAGTAAAGTAAAACCTTCTCTTTTTTTTTTCTTAAGGCTACTGATCCAGATTCAGGGCTTTGGGGAGAAATCAAGTACTCTATCTATGGAACAGGAGCAGATCTGTAAGTAACAAGTAAATAAATAAAACTACATAACCTCTAAGCAGAGTTCTGAAATAATTTTAAAAGAAAGCTAGCAGACTAATTCTTGGTCTGCTCATTTCCAAGGACATTTATGCCATGTTATTTTTGAGTTCTGTGAACTACTACTGTGAAGCTACTCTGATCATTAAACATCGACTTCATGAACTCAAGGAATTCTACCCACAAACCCCCAGAGAGATACAGAGCAGCTAAAGTATCAATACACAGGATTTGTTCAATCACCATTTGAAAAACACTTGTAAGAGAAAGAGAGATTTTGGTCTAGTTGTGAAAAGTCAATTCTACTGAAAATGAATCTCTAGAAGGGTTTTTCCCCTCCCCTTTCCATATAGCTTTACAAATAGCTCTTGTCAAGATAAATCAGGGAAGACAAGATATTCAAGGATATACACTTCAGCTTTGGAGGTCAGCTGCATTGGGTGTTAAAAGCCTTTCATACATTTAAACATAATAGTCCTGCATGAGGAAAAAGGGAACCTGATGCTTACTTGGTTTGGTAATAACGCCTCCCTCCCTCTCCCTGTCTTTGGGGACAGTGCTGGGGGTAGAACATCTTGAAACACTGGCTCCTTCACACCATGTCCATCCTAGCTCCCAGACACGGCTGGGATCAGTGACATGGCTGTCACAGATATTCCTGCTGGAGCCTGCATTCTGCAGGGCAAAATGCTGGAAATGAATGAGATTTTCAGATACTCGCCTCAGGAATCTTTTTTCCTCTGTACATTATCCACCTGGAGCTAAAGGTGAACTCTTCTTGTTAAGGTGAAAGCTGTTTAGGAGGCGAAATCAAAGTCCAAAATCCAAGATGTTAAGGGTGAACCTCTTCTGTAGCCAGAAGGATACACATTTTGGGAGTATTTCTACGATGGATTATTTTGAGCTCTTCACTAAGTCTTTAAGCTAGCTGCTAACTGCACAGAGAGAAGCAAGAAAAGGTCATGTCATGCAGGCAGACCTCCTAGGTTTAGAATGTAGCAGCTGGTGGAAAGAAGCTTGAGAAAGTTGTTGACAAAGGATTTAGGGGGAAAAAATGTAAGCACAACTTTATTCTGATTGGCATTATGGGGCTGCTCAGATTCACTGTTCTTATGCTGTTGAATGAAGAAATTATGATGTGAGCTTTTCTTTTCCTTCTTAAGTATTTTTGTTGGTTTTCCTCCTGCCAGAATGGCATCGCTCTGCAAGGCTGGATTGATTTTCTAGCCCTGGCACCTCTGGATGTGCTGAACACACAGTTTGATGCAGATAGGAGAATTTCAACTAGAGGCACGATGTTTCTGTCTTGGATATCACATCAGTGGGTGTGCAGTTGCGTGGGCAGAAAGATGAGTTTTACTGGAGTAGGAGAAATAGTGTTAACTGTTGAAGATGAAAGCAATCTGATGGTAATCCTACTTTGGTAATCTAAGCTGCCAGTGGGTGCACTTCTGTTCTTCCACTAAAATGGGAATGATGAGAGTGCTGTCTGTGTGGTAAGGGCTGGGCTGGGAGATGAGGAGGCAGCACAGGCACTGTCTCCTACACAGCTATTCCCACCTCCAGATCTTGGATTTCATCAAAACTTGTATCTGTATTTAACAGGGTTATAAGAACAGTTGAAGATTCTGCATTGCTAAATGCCCCTTTTGTAATCACTCTCAATTGTATTCACAGTTGGAATACAGAAAATATTTTGCTACCCTGTACACTGATCAAAGGAAATATAAAAGCTTTCATCTGTTAAAAGCACTACTGCTTGGAGCCTACAGTGGCAGTCCATTTTAAAAAGACAGTGTTGGTATCTTCTCTATAAATCCAAACTTTGGACTGACACTTTTGACAGTGTCTCTGTAATTGCAAATGTGTAAAACTGAACTTGCAACAGATAAATCTGAACACCCACTCCATTCCAGAGTCAGTCTATGAAAAAATTATTATTTTTGGAGAGGATAATTTGCCCTGTATTTTAGGAGATTTAAGAGCAGATTTTTTTCCTACCCATTCTGAGAAGTGAAGCGCTTGAATATGATATACATCACACTTCCTTTAGACATTTAGGTGACATAAATCAATCTTAATTTATGCAGGACATAATCTTTTACACTGTACTTTTAAACTGGGGAAAAAAAGAGTAAAATTAGGTTTAATGTTTTTCCTCTTAATGTAAGAAAATCACTGTGGGAGAAGGCCATCACACTGAGCATTTACTGAGGACAAAGACTTTTAATGGAAAATGCAGCTAAAATGGCACAAGAGAGAAAACTATGAGACACTGATAGTTCTCTGGTTTTCAAGCCTAAAGGAGCTACACAAAAAACAGGTAGAGTCAAAGATTTGGAAACATCACCCGGAGACGAATTAGCTGAAGAGTACCAGTGTCTGGGCACAGCATTTCAGTCTTTACAGCCTGGAGCAAAGCTGGGATCTAAACACACATTAAGTGACCAAAAGTCTCCTCTTGCTTCTTTTCCAGGTTCCTAATCCACCCATCAACAGGTATCATTTACACCCAGCCCTGGGCTGTGCTAGATGCTGAAGTGAACTCCAAGTATAATTTCTATGTGAAAGCAGAGGACACAGATGGGAAATACAGCTTGGCTGAAGTGTTTATCACCGTGCTAGATGTCAATGACCACTCTCCAGAGTTCAATGAAAACATCCAGGAAAAGACGATGATCATTGGGTCACCCGTGAAGATAGAGGTGAGAGATGGCACAAAGCAGAGTGCTTTGGAAAAGCCCTGGCTCTGCTGTTTACTCTCAGGGGTCATGATGAATGTCTGAAAGTTGCCTTTTCTTGCAGCTTTATTTTGCACATCCACTTGGATGTAACAAATGGATTAAAGTGTAGAATTATAGTATTTACTGACTGCTGAGAAGGAGAAATAAATTCTATAGGCAGAATATAAAGTCCTATTACAGTATTTGAACAATCAGCTGGGGGATGTCCTGGATTAGACAGTGATCATAATAAGCCCAAACAAGATAAGTGAATGAAAGTACAGGGTTTTGAACACATAACCTTCCTGACACCCCTTTGTGTTCAACCACACAACGTAGTTCCCTTCGTTTTGAAGAACTGTATCCAATAATCCAGTGCAGAACAGTAGGTCAAAAAACAATTCCCAGGCAGAACATCCTATGTTACACACATTTAAATGCATATCATGAGGCCTGATCGCACAACGCCTAATGTTAGTAGAATAAATACCACAGCACAAAAATTAAGGCAGCTATAATTTATGACATGGAGCTAATCCCATTGTTCTTCATCACTTCACATTTGTCCTCCACACTGTGTGAGAAGCTCCCAGCTGAGGACCGTTTGCATTCTATAGATAGGTTACAGTTCAGTTTTACGTCTGATTTTGTTTCATCTCAAATAGAAGTAATTTGTAAAGAAAGGAGCCTAGTCCTGCTGTTTTTTACTAGAAAATGTAGCCTAGCTTCCAAGATGAAATGAAAGCAGCCCAGTCATGGCACAGATACTATCAGAAGTGAATGCCCAGAAGGTGTTTGTCCTCAGGCAAAGATAAAAACAATAACACCTTTGTTTTTCACACTTCCCCTACCAGGCTATAGACCAAGATGCAGAAGAACCCAACAACATTGTGGATTATTCCATCATGCAAGCAGACCCGGCCAATGTGTTTGACATAGACCAAAGCACTGGGGAGATCAAGCTGAAATCCTATATCCGATCTCTGGACATCATCCACAACATCACAAACAATAAAGACTGCATATGGTCATTGGTGGTCCAGGCCAAAGATCGAGGCTCCCCCTCCTTCAGCACCACAGCAGTTCTGAAGATTGATATCACAGAAGAGGTAAGCAAATGTTTTAGAAAAATCCTTATGGGAACAATCCCTGAAAAGCACCAAAGGGTAGACATTGCTTGCTCCATTTCTGAGACCTTCTTGCCAGCTCTGTTTTGCAGAGTATTTCTATAGCCTTGTGGTGAAGTTGGATTCTGCAGCCACAAATGTGAAAGATATTTTGATCAGAAATATTGCAAAGGTACAAAGGTAGGAGCACAATATAACTGGGAGATGAGTTTTTTGTTAGAGATTGTTAGATATTAATTAAGGTCTATAGACGTCTGAGAGTAAAGGCAAATCCCAACTGCTAAATTTCTGCTTTTTTATTTTCATCCAGAAGAAAAAAAAATCTCTTTTCCCTTACAAAAAGTGAATGGAAAACAGCTGGGGTCAGAGTGAAATAAGTCAGAGAAATCAACTGAAGTGACATGGGAAAAGTGAGAAAAAACTTTACAGAAATGCTTTAAAGTACACAGAACTTTGGATGGGAGTTTAATAATTGCAGTATTATTAGCAGATGAAACAAGAAGACTCTAAAAGAGTCTTGCACATGTAGGTTGAGATTTTCCTTAGTCCAGCTTTTAAGTCAGCTGGAGAACAAGCAGCGATTTATGGTGTGCAGCACGCGCTTGCACGGTTCTTATTTATTGTAACTGCCTTGCCATGCCTTTAACTAGGTACCAGCAGGGAGGAAATGGGCTTTAAAGCAGATGAGAAACACACCATTAGCCTGATAGTCTCTAGACCACACACATAAACTGGGCAAAGATGCAAAACTCATCCTACAGACTGCAGCTGCCTTCTTGGTTTGGTCACAATGCTCCCACTGCTCTTAGGTCTGTTACAATCTTTGTTTTCTCCATCTCCTCTTATTCCACTGATACTCCATGTGAGGCACATTCATATGATAGTTTGTGTAGACAGTTCAGAGCCTGCTGGACTGCCAGGGGCCTTGGGTCTGCCCTAGCAGGGCAGTGGCTGGCATGGGGCTGCCTTTTGGGGCTGGCCAGCCCTGTGGGAGAGGGCTGGCCTTGCTGCAGCAAGGCTCTACCACGTGGAGCTGGGGGACTCTGCATGCAGGGTGTCTGTGGTAAGTCTAGAGCTTTAGCTGTTCTTACAGGTACAAAGGAAATGCACTGCTTAGCTCTTGGATTTCTCATGGAAATGAAGTTTTGGTGGGTTTTATACAACCAATCAGAATTACTGCCCACAGCCAAGAGTGGGAGTAGTTGCCCTCCCTGCCTCGCTTCCAGGCTTCTCCCAGGCTGCACATTTCAGGAGTGTGTGGCAGTGGGTGGACCCAGGCCCAGTCCTCAGGCACATCCCTGATCATGGCCACAGCCTCCCCTTCCCTCCTGGGTGAGCTGGAAACCTCTCTGTCAGCATGTGGGGCTGATGGGTGTGAGTGGAGAGAGGGTGTCCCACACCTCCCTGCTGGGGGACAGCATGTCCCTGAACCAGCTGAAGAAGGACAACTAGAAGGAAAACAAAAGTAGCTGATACTTTGGGATAAGGAGTTTCCTGAATTTCCTTCTGGTGCTTGAAGCAATAGCAGTACCTGATGAAAGATGGTGTCTTGTATGAAGTCCCCTGTCTGCTCCCTTTTCTCCCCCTCCAGGGGTATACATTTGGCACAAGGTGAGGGAGAGCCCTCCTCATAAAGTCTAAAGGGGAAGCAGAGAGCGTGTGATGACATGGATTTCCTCACACACAGTTTTTTTCCTTCTTCCAATGCTCTTCTTGATGCCAAGTCCCAACAGAGAGTCTGAGATAGCAACAGAATCTTCTTTCTTTGAGTAGGTTTCTTCAGCAGCATCTGGGCTACCAATCTAGTGTCATATCCTCCATAACCTTTTGTACGTCTCTGTTACTTCTTCCATGGCTTGTAATGATTTGAGTTGGTTGGGTTGGGGGATTTGTTATCCCATAGCCTCCCATCTTTTTTGCAGAAACAGATTTCAGTTTGCAGGTATGTGAGAATGCAGTGCCAGTGTCCAAAACCCTTGGTCACTGCCTGTGTCCCAGGGAGAGCACGATCACTGCTAATGCTTTGTGAAGAAAACAATCTCTTGGTGTAGGCATATTGCATACACACTCTCTCTTTCTCTGAGGCTGTAACAAATGTGCATTTCATCCCTCAGTGCTCCAGCTGTACAAAGGCTCTTATTTCACTGTTTGGTGGGCATTTATGTATTACTGATTTTGGATAAGGAGGATATTTTTGAATGCATCCTCTAGAGGTTTCCTGCAGTGTTAATCACAGTAAGTAATTAAACAGGCATATTTTCTGATTAACGTTTACCATTGCAATTAGCACAAGTCTGTGCCCTTCGAGATGGATGCCTTGTGGCTAAGTTCAGCAGTATTGCACATCAAAAGGACCTTCTCTTGGAATAATACAGTGCTAAAGGAATCCAAAGGCCTTTTAATTTAACTGTGTCTGATTTTATGGAAATTGGTATTGAGGGGCATCTGTTAATATCCTATCCTCTCACAATAAATAAAAAATACCCTTTCACAGAATAAAAAAACATATGCTAGAAAAGCCAGTCTTTTCCATCCATATGTCTCACTCAGAAATCTGTTCCTGCCTGATATTTTCAGAGAAGGCTCATTCCTACTCCTGTTCTTGAAAGTTGGCCTGATGGGGGCATCCCTCGGCCTCTTGACGACTCCACTGAGGTTCTGCAAATGTAGAGGGGGTGTTTATTTACACCTCCTCACAGACTGAGGCTTAAGTCCATATTTAGACAGCATAATCTGTAGTTCTTAATAGCTTTGACCACTCATTTAGACTTCTAAATATAGCTGGTGAGCCATACTGAAGCTTCAAAAATCTTTGAAGTAACATGGAAATCTTCTCCTCTCATACTAATGGCAACCATGGGAGCTGTGGTTGCTGGCACTGAACAGCCCTTGCCACATATGCAGAGCAGTTAGCCTCTTCTTTCCACAGTTTTGTGGACTTGAAAAAAATACTGGTTTGATTTGAGAAGTCTTGCTTCATGCTGGTGTTTGTATTGCGAAGTGATGCAAACACAGCCTTCATATACAGTGACAGAACTGAGCTTTGGGATAAGCACTGCAGGGACAGCTGGTGTTCTGTCTCGGATCAGGAGTCACTTCTGAAGCAAATCTGATCATCCCCACATGCTGTGGGATGGCCTGTGCCTCACCTAGCTCCAAGCACACAAAGTGAACTTCTTTCAGAGGATAGTGTGTTTTGGGAGCACCCCTAGTGTGCCTGGGCACCAACAGGCAGTCCCTCCCTGCAACCAGGCTAGAACAAAAGCCCAGAAACACTGAATGTGTGGAAGTGGGCTCCTCAGAACCAGCAGGTTCATTGCCAGATTGTACAGATCCACTTGCTCAAGTTAACACAGTCTGAGTTGTCTGTAACACAGTCATTGAGCCAAACATTTACCATCTAGTCCAACTCCAGCACTGCCAAGTCCATCACAAAACCATGTCCCTTAAGTGCCACATCTACAAATAATCTGCAATAGCTTGGGCTCTTAACAGGTTTGCCTACTTACTTAGACTCCTAAATATAGCTGGTGAGCCTTAGCTGCTCTTGTGATTGAAGAGCTCAACCACATTGCTTTTGGGTCCAGCTTCTGGATACTTGGCCCATGTGCTCTGCTCACTGCAACCCATGCATTAGGAAAGGCTCTTGAGAAGCTGCCACAGACAAAAAAATCCCCCCAAAATCAGCAGAGCATTATCTTCTGTGAGCAGTGGTATTTTGGTATTTTAATTCCCTTGATGACTGGAGTGTTTCTTCCACGTCCTGGCCCAGAGAAATACAACAGCTTTCATTTAATCATGTATCTGCTTTTATTTTATGTACACCAGAAAAAGCAGTACCCTCCAAAATGCAGAATGCCTTTTAGGAAAAAACAACAGCTTCAGCAATTGCAAAGTGGCACTATTTGTTGAGCTGGCTACGTGGCACTGCTGGTAATCAACACAAGGACTTGATGTTTTAAATGTGCACTTCCCACGAGTCTCTCTGCAGCCTGGCTAGGATTATGACATTCCTGGCCTGTATTGCAATTTATTCCTTCTATTTATCCTGCCAGTGTCATGGCTATGACAAACAGAAACTCTCCGACTCTGTCCTTACAAAATGTCTGATGTTTTTATGCAGAACAGTTGTTGTCCAAGGCTAATTCCAGGCAAAGCTTTGTATAGTAGAGGTCAAGTAACTAAAATAGAGGCTGAACCAGCTAGCTGTTAATGGGTTTAGTTTTGGTATTAATCATCTCTTCATCACTGGAAGCTCTGAAAAGATGCCAGACTTTCTGAGACCAGGCAACTGAATGAAGCCAAATGTCACATCTCCATAAATTTTTATCTGTTCTTACCTCTGCAACTGTAGTACACAGGCAACATGTACTTCTGTCTAATCTCATTTATTCAAGGTTTTCAAATAGCTAGTCAAATATTCTTCAGCCATCAGTGCCTTCCTATAAAATAGATCTTGACAAAACTTGTAACAGGTGGACTCAGGTCATGCACTACTTAGCAGGGTTTATCTGACACTTAATTCATCTGACTTTCACATAAAGTTAAGTAAGCCAGGGCAGAATTTCTATCATCTGATGGGATTTAAGTACAAAAAAAAAATCCATGTAATGAAGCAAAGCTGATGTGAGTCTAAGCTCCACCAAAGCCATGGGCTGCTTTGCTTTTGGTTTCTAGTTCAGGTCCACTCCTAATTAAGTACTGGAAGAACTCTCTGTACAGCAAAATGATCAAGATTTGTGCCTACCTGCCCAGTGACATGGTCTGTGAGTTTCACTAGCATTTCTTTGCCCTTTTTTGTAATGGGACACAGGGTAGGAGTAGAGTGGGCTTGATAATGTGTTTGAGATAGCTTGTGAAAAAACAGAAATTAAGACAAGGAGGTGTTTATTAGCTAATTTACATGCCCCAAGTTTGTGGATGTGACATTAATGACAAGAGATACTCTGAAGCACACTCTGAGATACTCTTAGTCATCCTCCCCCAAAGACTGGGGAGGGCAAAGAGATGGGCATCCTAGATTAGAGTCACACAGGGAACTCCATCTGAGCTACAAGTCAGAGGTTCAAGTCCAAGCTACTGACAAGGTTCTCCTTATACACACTGTCTTTTATACCTATTTTGGCATATGGTGACTACTGCTCCAGAGGAGTCCTTTTCTCCCCATTGACCAAAAGCTGGAAGCTTAGACCTCTAACTAAAACACATCTCACTAGACATGCAAAGTTTGGGTGAGGAGTCCCTCATGTAGTCAAAGACAGGGGACTAGGGCACAGTGGACAGCCCTGTCTTTCTGCAGCCACACATCACTTTATGACCAACTCTCAGTAACCAAACCTGCGTGTGAATGTGCCATTTCTGCAGGCTCTCCTGGCCTTACACTGTCTGTTCAGACTCCACCTGTATTCACAATGAACTCTTGGAAATGCAGTCCAAGGGTAGGCTACCACGCCCTGAATAAGGGTGATCTGTGTGCCATTCCTCTAGGCTTTATTCCTCAATCAGCCAGGTGTTTATATGTGCTTCCAAACTTCTTTTACTGTTTCTGGATTCAGTTTGACATCATTGCAACTGCCTCCTCTCCTGTGCCTAGTTCAGCACTTAGCTCCCTTTATTTTATAGGCTCTCTATCCTGTGCACATTTCAGCCTAGCTCCTCAGCTGTGTTTATAATAGATACTGGCCTCTTTCCAATATAACCATGTGAGGGTTGACCATGTCTCTTATTTTTGATATTTCCAGATCAAGTCCAGGGTAAAATCCTATATTTTAGGCCTCAAGAAGCGTCCATGGACAATATATGGAATATGCATGAGTGGCGTCCTTTCCACCATTTCTGTTACAATGGTGATCTCCACCATCATGTACTGGAAAAGTGTGAAAAGATCCAAGCTCCACCCACAGGGCAAAATCCGCAAAATTATACGGGGACCTCCGAGACGCACAGTGTGCTGAGCTGGAAAGTGAACTGGCCATTCATTTGTCCTTAATATGCCATATGTAGCTTCTGTCATTGCTGATTTTCTTTTCTTTCTATAAACAAAGCTCTTTAGCTCCACTGATCTCCCCTACCTCAAAGAGTTTTGTTACGTCTGTAAAAGAGTACTTGAAAACAGAATGCAGCACATACCTGCTAACTACTCATTTGTACACTGACATTTTATAAGCAGAAGCTTTCTCCTAATCCTTTTCAATGCCATGCTCAGTAATTGAGCCAATTATTTTCTTGCTCCATTCTTGCAAGTTAAACACTATGGTGGCATGCAGGAATCTGCTTTAATTTGGTGGCAGTACTTCTGTAAGCTTTTGTGTTCAAGTCATCTACCTCACAGCACTATAATGTTTACCCAGTCTCCAGCCCCATCTAAATTCTCCACCCCTGGACTGGCTGTGTGACTCTCTTTTTTTTTTTTAGAGACAAGTTCCATCAATCAGCTCTACTTGTAACATATTTTGGACAAATGAAATTTCTAGGTCACTGTCTGTCCCCTGGAGTAAGTCATGTGTTTTCTTTGTACTCCTTTACAGACTCTTCACAAAGGGCCTATGGCCGCCTTTTTGATGCAAACTAAAGATAACCCCATGAAAGCCTTAGGAGTGCTAGCTGGTGTCATGGGCATAATGGTGCTGATAACTATCATGATCTCTACTGCCATGTTCTGGCGCAACAAGCGGTCCAACAAAGTCATGCCGGTGAGAAGGATCATAAAAAAGAGACAGGTGCCGCCATCCCGGACAGTCAGGATGGAGTGGCTGAAGTTCAAGAGGCCCAGCAACGCTGCAGAGAAGTTTGTCGTCGAGGAAGACGTGAAGAGCCTGCACAATGAGAACAGCAACAACAACGTCCAGGTTGTCCCCGTGCCGCCGGCGGCCCCCCTGCCCCCGCCACCCCCCACCCTGGCTCCCCGAGGCGATGCCCCGGCGTGGCGGGTGCCAACCGTGTCCGGCTCCCTCACTCCCAAGCATGTAATCAAGCCACCGAAGAAGAAAGGTCACAGCAGCACCCACAACGCCCTCGTGTCAGAGCTCAAAATGAGGTTTGAGAAGAGGAACGCAGCTTTCGGGGAGCCCCACATCTAGGTGCTCTCAGCAGCCCCCAGAGACTGCAGACTGTGGCTGGGCATGGATGTTTTTACTTGCTGTCTGTTCCCTGTGTCTGTCAGCACCCTGTGAACCAGAGCAGCTTCTCGCTGTGATAGCCACCCCTCACCTTCTGCAATACCATTGTGACTGCTGTTCCCTCGGCCGTGTCCCGTGGGCCCTCCCTGCTGTCTGACCACGGTGCTGAGTGTACCAGCCACGGTTTCCCCAGGTGAACAGGGACTCAGGTGGCCCCTGGTTTGGAGGTGTCTACCCAGAGCTTGGGTTTTCAAACAAGATGCTCTGCAGCCAAGGCCCTGGTGGATGCTTCTTCTGACCTGGTCTGGCAGGTGGGTTTGAGGTGTCTGAAAATCCATCACTTCAAAACCCAGACCCATTTCTGAAGGTGTTGGCCTGGCTGTGGCAGCAGCACTGAGTCCAGGTGCAGGTCTCCTACAGCAGTGGCACTGCTCTGCCCTGTGCACAATGTGCTTTGCAACAGCTGGCGGAGCAATGTGCTCATGGCCTGAGTCCCTTCATCCCCAGAAGGTAAGCAGGCAGCCTTGGAGAAGTTCTTCCTTTTCCTGCAGCTTACGCTGGGTTTTGCCAGAGCACATTGACATGATGCTGTGCTTTGCTTCTGCCCTGGACTTGCCTGCTGGGGAGGGATGGGAGGGGCACCTCAGCCTTCCCTGGACCAGCAGGGGCAAGATTTGAGCACAGAAGTTCAATAGCAGCACTCAGCACTGCCTCCTTCTGACACTGTGCCCCAAAAGAGCAGGAGCCCAGCAGGAGGAGGACATGAATAAAAGCACTGGGAAGACAAGGTAAAACTGAGAGGTAAATGATAAGTGGAAGACAGAGACAAGTGCTGGAAAGTTGCATATGTTGGTCAGGGAAGTGTCTGGAAAGATCATGTGGTGTTGTACACTGCCAGCAGAAGGTGTCAAGGAATATATTTCATCACCTCTCCTGGCTTGTTGCAAAAGGAGGTTTCCATAAAATATTCAGGTTTTTCTTATCAGTATTTTTGAGTGAATTAAACAACATGTAATGGGACGGGCCTAGCAGGGCAGCTGACAGGGGTTTTTTTCCTGTTATGTGACAGTAGTAAGGCACCAAGAGCAGAGCACTTTTTTCACTGGATCTACCCCACAGACTCCCCCTCAGGTTTGTTTCTGAGGAGATGTTTTTCAGCTGGGCCTGGCTGTTTCCCATCCCCTGAGGAGAAGGCAGCACCAACTGACTGAGCTGGCTGGGGAGCAGCACCCTGCACCCTCTCTCTGAGAGCCAGCCCTGCAGAGAAGATGTGCTGTCATGATACCAGGAACATCAAGGGGGGAAGCACACTGTGTTATTTCAAGGGGTTCATGAGAGTTCTCCAGCTGTCATTTCAATTGAACCAGCAGACCTGGCCCTCAGGATCTCCTCTCACTCCAGGAAGTGAAATAATTCCCCTTTTTGCACCAGGACTTCATCAGTTTAGGAGATAGCTGGTTGAATATGAAATTATGCACTTACAAGGAAAATCTTGTATTTTGTAACTTCAGTTCAATCTGCCTAGAAGCCATAGTGCTCATGTCATCCGTGAGCTGAGCCAGCAGCTGTAGCCAAGAGGTCCAGGAGAGTCCCAGCTGGGGGCCATGGCAGGATCGCTGCTCCCAGAGTCTCTCCTGTCACACCTCTCCTTTTCTCTACTGTTTTCTTGCTTATCCTTCCTCCTGGGGCACTGTGATGTGAGGCCAAGTTCTCACCTACCCAATCACCTCGTCTTTGTCCCCTGGCCACAAGCTGGCCGAAGGGAGGGGACATGCAGCCCCTGACCCCACTCCTGCTGCCCTGTGCAAGCACCTGCCTTCTGATGGCTGAGTGTCTGCAGGTTCTGCAATGTTCCCCCAAGTTCCTGATTTATTCCCCATTCCACTGTCTTCCCAGTGTTGTGTTACTGCCAGTATTCAGTGTTCATTCTCTAATGAGGAAAGCCTATAAAGACCATTCAATTAAGTCAGATTTAACAGGAATTACAGGCTTATAGTCTTAGAGATTATATTTAAGAGGCAATAAAGATGTTTTATTACTATGTTGTGAGACTCCTTCCCAGTTACTCTGTATTTCAATTTCAAAGGGTTTTTTTAATAAATAATTTTTTTTTTAAATCTGCAAAACGTGCTTCTGTGCTTGGTGTGCTTCTGCTGGCAACGATGCCTTGTGCTCACCTGTTACATTACCAGACAGCCACAGGCAGCCAGGCCCCTTTTTAGGATGACCAAATGGGCCCTTCTGTGGGCTGTGAATCAGGAGAGGGGCTGTGTGGCTTTTGGACAACACCAGGCTGGAAGGAGGGGCGGTGGGAAGCAGGATGGCATTGGCACAGGCTGGGCAGGGTCACAGAGAGCCCCTGGCTGAGCTCCCATGGTACAGCACTCTGCAGCACAGTCCCAAGGCAGGGAGGCAGCAGGGCCAGTCTGATGCCAGTGTCCAGTGTCTGCAATTTGTTATGAACAAATCCACATGGTCAGGAAAAGTTTTGTCTTTCCTTGACTTTTTCCTCACTGATTCAGCAGCTCTCTCCAGTCTCTGCAGTGTGCTGTTGTCCCTCCCTGCTGAAGAAGGCTGTTCATTACTGAGGGTGCTTTGTTATTTATTCCCCCTCGCCCACAGCTCCGCACTGCTTTTCAACCAGCACCAGCTCATGGCTCACTCTGTCCTAGCTGTGTCTGTGGGTGCTTTCCCAGGACAAGGTTTTCCTGCTCGGCCAGCTGCTGCTGCCCCTTCCTCACCACTCCAGACTCCTGTGACTTGTACTGAAGCTGCCTGGCCTTCTCCATCCCTGCAGCCACACCCCAGAGCTCCTTGGAATCCAGGTTTCTTTGCAATTTGTGACTGTAAAAGGCCAGAGATGAAGCAGAGGACCTCTGTGTATTCTGAAAATTGGTCGTGTTTATTGCTTTGACACTAAAAGATTGACAAGACTAGGAAGTCCTGTGAAGTATTAACAGTGAGAGTCAGCAATAACAAAACAGAGCTCTGTTCAAAAGCTGTGCAGAAGGAGGTGCTGGGGGAGTAATCATAGGCCTGAGGAGAGACAGCATGGAAAACACACACCAAAAACCAAAATACAATTAGAAAGTCAAGCTACCACAGCATGAAGCTCACAATAGCTGGGGTGTCTACTCTAGATTTTTCTTTTTGAGACAATCTTTAACACATATAACAAGTGCTGTGGGTCTATGGGCCACATGCTTTGGTTGTGCTGGAAAGCAAGAGGTCAAAAATAGAAAAATAGTAAGTCACATGTCCTCAGACCTCTGAGAATCACAGCACTGAGCTGCTTCACAAGCGGGAGGAAGTTGCTTTTACATGCATCTTTGGGCTTTTTTGCCTCTAGCAAAGAGGCGAGCTTTGGTTTCAAAGCAGCAGGATAGGCAGGCACCTGTCTGCATTTAGGGAATGTGCCTGGCTTGCATCTTCAGCTCCCAACCCCATTCTCCACTATGTTCTCTGCCCCTGTCCACTTGTCCCACCAGCCTGGTTCAAGCACTTGCACTTTCCCTGTCTGTAGTACAACCAAAGCTGTGAATCTCTTAGGGCTGCGTAAACCTTAAAGAGAAATAAGAAAAAAAAAAAAAAAAACCCGAAAACAAAGCAAAACAAAAAACCCACCCTCAAAACCAACACCTCTGGTGAAAATAATTTTTTCTCTAACTAAAATAAAATCTCTTCATCATGTTGGCCCAATCCATTTGCTGTCGCTGGGCTGTGATGGCAGGCGTGCCCAGCTCCCTGTCCGTTCCCAGGAGAACAGACACAGGACACAGGAGAAGCTGGCGCCTGGCACTGGACAGAGCTGCGGACACACATAAACAGACACACCTGTGTGGGGGAGTGAGGGGACACTTCTGGCCTTTGGCCACAAGCATTACTATTGGTTCGGGGGTTGTTTTTTGTCAGTGTTGGTTTTCTCGGTGCGTCAGTGTGCGTTGCTCCGTGACAGTGCCGCAGGGACAGCCCGGGCACCTCCATTCCCGGGGCTCCCCAGCCTGCTGGAAGCGGCGGTGCTCCCGCGGGCAGCGGGCCAGGCAGCCGGGCAGCGCCTCGGCCGTGCAGGCGTACATGCCGGCCGGCACGGCCAGCACCATGGCGCACACGATGACCACGATGTGGATGAGCTTCTCGCGCTGCTCCATCTGGCTGACGTCGCTGCCCGTGACGAAGACGACGCACTGGCCCTTGCGGGGAGCCTGGTTGCGCACGGCCACGCACACCTCGTACTTGGTGGCGGGCAGCAGGTCGGTCACCGAGTACGTGTTGACGCCGGGCCCGATGTAGATGGTGTCCTTATGGGCGGCGTCGTAGCGGCCCACGAGCAGGGTGTACCAGGTCTCCCCCGGCTCCGCCGCCGCCGCCGCGAACCACTCGAGGGTGATGCCGTACACCGTCTGCTTGGCGATGCGCACCTCCACGTGCGCGCCCGGCTCCGCCGCGGCCGCCCAGCCGCGGGCCGTGGTGGACGCCCACGGGGCCACCACGCGGAGGCTGATGGCCACCGAGGCGTTGCCCAGGAAGTTTGCGGCCGTGCAAGTGTAGTTGCCGGCGTCCGCCGGCCGTGCCGCCGGGATCAGCAGCTCCGAGCGCACGGTGTCCTCGCTGACGGGCTCCGTGGACACTGCGGGCAGAGGTGAGCGCGTCAGCAGCGAGCCCTCGGGCCCCAGGGCCGCTGTGGGACGGGACCCGCCCTGCCCAGGGACACAGGAAGGGGATGTGCCAAACCCCACGGAGCTGGTAGCGAAGCCCTGTCTGCCTGAAAGGCAATGCACGCGTTGGGACACCCGCTGCTGTGGGAGAGGCCGCGCTGCCCTTCTGCCATCGGCGTTCCTGGGTCGGGCAGCCAGGAGAGGCACTGAGGAGGCACGCCTGCATTTGGGGCACACGCTCCATCCTCTGCTAGCATTAAGTTGTCAAAAGGCTCAGACCAAAATAGGTGTATGAAGCTGGAAAGTGTTGGGCTGGAAGTGAAAGGCAGTTTTAAGAGCAGTGTGAAACCCTGTCATCTGCACAGACAGAGGTTTGTGGTTGAGAAGAAACTGTATGTAATTAATCAGCAGTGCTTGTGGAAAGACACACCAGAGCTGCAATTGAAGCACATATCAGCCCAGGATTAAGGGCTAATGCTATCCTATTTAGTTAGCTGGCTTATTAGGGACACAGAACCTGTGTGCTGGCTGCCTGTATATCTTACTTTACCTGATGAAAATAGCAGCTTGTCCTATTGAAGGCTCTTAGTAAAAATAAACATGAGGGAGGATGGATTGGGAGGAAGAGGAAAAGGTCTCATATTACAAAACCTTTCCTAAAGAATATAAATAAGCGACACTTCAGGTAAACAACTACCTCTGTTTCAGTTCCTTCAGAACATGGATGGACACAGACAGGAAACAGGGCTGCACAGTTTTGTGGTTTGTGTTCTATTCCTTGACGGAATACATGGGAATAATGTAGGAACATACAAGTCTGTGTATATGGGTGTGGGCTCATAGAAACACATCTTTATGGACATATAATTATACAGAGTGTGTGCATATATATATGTCTATATAGTGTATGACATAATAAATTATGTAGTATATAATATATAGTAAATATACATGCATATTTATATAACTACATTTTTATTAAATATGTACAACTAATATAAGATTAGTAGTTCGTACTATCATGTGTCATGAGGAAAGAGCTGCTTCTTAAAATCCACAAGTATGAAAATCGTATAAAAATGAGACCATGCTCTTTTTATCTTTGGCTGATATCCTGCATGAAGCAGCTTCTTCTGCTGGTCAGATGTGCTTAGATGCAGAGGATGATTGAGATCATTTGGATTACAGCCACAATAACTGTGGTGCTCGAAAGGGGCTGGGTTGCTGTGGTGGCTATGATGGCCTGCAGACCTATGTAAGTAGCATAGTACAGCATAAATTTTTAATTAAAAAAAAAAATGGAAGAAGAAGGAAAAGCTTTGCTTACCATTAAATGCCCTTAAAAGTTTGAGTGCATAGGTCCACCAGACGGCCGGGGAAGGGCTGGCTTGCACAAAGCAGGTCAGGGTGATGTTTAACCCTGCTGGGACTGTCAGGTTGGTGTCAAGGGCTGAGGTCAGGGGCTTCGTGCAGCTGTTAAGCTCCACTTCGTGAAAAAACTTCCCTGTCCTGAATTTTGGGCCTGAGCAAGTTAAATAGGAATTCATCAGAATAATAGGTGGGCCCACAGACTTGATGAACTGGACAAACCCGCGCAGGCGACAGTCGCAAATCCAGGGGTTGTCATGGAGGGCCAGCACGGCATTGGAAATGGCTTCCAGCGGCCCCTCCGTCCTCTGGCTTCTCTGGTACACAGGCCAGTTGTAGAAGACATCCCTGGATATGATGGTAAGCTGATTTGAGGATAGATCTAAGTAGGTCAGGTTGGGCAGGTAGCGGAGTGCGTGTTCTGGAAGGACATCCAGCCTGTTGTGCTTCAGATCCAGGATTTTCAGAGTCGGGGTGTCTTGAAATGCTGTCCATGGCACCGAACTTAATTTGTTCCCTTGCAAGCGCAGCTCCTTCAGAGCTGGCAGATATTCCAGGCTCTTGATGTGCATCACTGTGATGTTGTTAAAATTGAGCCACAGATACTCCAAGGCACTGACGTTCTCAAAAGACCCACGAGGCAATTCTGTTAGGTGAGAATTTTCTATTCTAATTTTCCGCATGTCCTGAGGGATATTTGCAGGGATCTGCCTCAGCAGTGCTGACATGCAGAGCAAACTCCTAGGGAGGAAACCAGAAAATTTTCCAGGTCACAGACCACGTTTGAGGCCAATAAACCAGTTCCTTATGCAGGTCTACAAGCAAATAATTGTAAGGTATTGTATATAGGGCATGCATAAGCCATCCATCCATCCATCCCTGGGGTTTACACCAATTTTGCCATAAAGTATGCAATTAAGTCGTAAAAATGACTATGTATGTAACTACATATCTCAGGGAAATAAGAGAAATCTCATTCTATGCTTAAGACAGCACAATTCAAGTATTAGAGGTGGCACTCCAGTCTGCTTGGGTTTGGTGCTCACATCATCAGCAATTTCCTACTGGGGCTGTCTGAGCCACTTCACTGGTGCTACAACAGGGGTAACAGTGTTCTTACCTTCCAAAGCTGTCCTGGGAACAAGAGCATCCTGTGATGCAAGATGAAACAGATGGGTTTATCTTGTGGAAGGCCAGAAGAAGAAGAAAAATATGACAGACAGGGTCCATATTCTCCTTTAAGAAAGCACTGTGCAGGGGTTTGCACCAAACATGCCAACAGCCTCCAAGAAGCAAATCCTATTAGCTGTAATCTTCCTTGACGCAGAAATAAATCCTGCTGGGGACCCAACCCTAAGGAAGACATACAGTGTGGTTCTCAGTCTGTGTCCAAGTGCAAAAAACCACCCCCAGGATCACTCCTGGCATTTCTCCTCCAGCTGAGGGGATTCTGACAGAGATATTTATTTGGTTGGGAATATGAAGATGGAGCCAAAACCACTTCTTTTGCCAAGCCCTTGCAAGTAATTAACCAGGCCAAATTTTTTTTTATTTTTTTTTTTTAGTTCTGCAGGGTCTGTCTCTGTCTCAAATATTTTAATGACTTTTATCAAGGCAGAAAGCCACGGTAAGGGGCAGAGTTCAGCTATTATTTCCACAGTGCCCCACTGCACAGTCCATCCTCCCCCAAACTGGGGTCTTCCAGCATGGAGGCATAAGCATGGCACCATTTTCCTCTGAAACACAGCTGTGTCCAGTCCATGGGTTTCTCTGACAAGAGTCTCTAGGAAGTCCATCTCTTTTGTATAAATACAAATTTTCAGTGCTATTCTCTGGCTTCCCTCATAAGACACATGCTGCCTACCTTTATCTTGAAAAACTGAGCCGTTCTGAGAAGGGATTTTGAGTAACCAAATTTATTGACCTCTTTTAATCCAAAACAGCAGGTTTCAGTTACGCTTTCCAAGGAGTTCTGCGTTCTCCTGGGGCCATCTAGTGTGGATGGGCTTCACTACAGCCTGCACGGGAGCACTCCTGGGAAAGGGCTGCACCTCCCTGCCCTGTGTGTGACGCTGGGTCACAAAGCAAGATTAGCCTGAACCTGCTTAACCTCTAACCTATGGGACCAAGATAGAAAAATATTTAAAGTGTGGCAGCTTAGAGCTATATGTCGCTCTCAGGATTGTGCTGCTTTCAGCCTGCAGAAGACACAGGCTTGATTCTGCAGTGATTAAATCAACAAGAGCTTTTATTTCATGGCAAATCAGCAAAATGAACTGGTGGGGAAATTTCAGGGGACTGATGTTCTGTTTCTGTCCCCCATGCACAGGGAACAGGCCACAAGGAATGGGCCTGTGGGGATGCTGTTGCTGGCAGTGCCTCACACCTAAGCACAAGCATAGGGGATGTTTATGGTTTGGCTTTTCTAGCTGAAATATTCCTTATTTGTCCATGGTGCAGTGTTTGATTTTATAACGACTGCCCTGTATTCAGGGGTGTCAGTGAGCCTGGAAGGGGAAGGCTGCTGGTCTGCAGAGCAGCAGAGCTGCCAATCCCCCACCATGGGGAGGGGTGGCTGCTGAGGAGCTCCTGGTGAAGCTGCTGCTGGTGCAGTGGAGATGGCACCACCGCAGCCCCTGTCCCCTGGGCACACCCTCCTTGTGCCCTTCCCGTGGAACCCAGCGGAGGGGACGCTCATCAGCAGGGCCGGCTGGATCAGCTCAGGCTGTTCAGGAGCAGCAGTGGCAGCTGCCACGGGTCCTGCCCCATCATCCGTCAGCCACTGGCGCAGAGGGACTCAGGGACCCCATTCCCACCCAGCAAATGCCACAGTCACCAGTGCCTTTGGTCTCTGTCTGTGGTCTGCCATGAAAATATTCCCTAATAAAACAATGATATTTATTGTTATAATAATAATTTTATATATTTACACTTTACAGTAATAATAAATATAACTTTGCAATAATAAAATAATGTGAAATAATATGAAATAATAAATATAATTAAAATGCTATATAATATTATATTGTAAAATATTAAAATATTATATTATATATTATATATTATATATTATATATTATTTTATAAGCGCTTAAGTTTGTACTAAAAGCTAATATCTATATTCTAAATCTACATTTCTGTTTCACTTCAAGGCTTCATATATCTCAGTTTCTCCAGGGGTTTTTGTTCAATCCCTGTGCCTGGATTTCCCTCTGGGCCTGTGCCCTGAGGGGCTTGCATTCCAACACCTCCCCCTCCTTTTATATTATATAGAAATACAATATATGATATGATGATTGATATGATATGATATGATGATATGATATTATGTAATGTAATATAAGGTATATAGTGTAATGTAATATAGTGTATTATAGTAATATAATATTATGTATATGATATATTATGTATAATAATGTGATATTGTAAAAATATTATTTACTATAATAATATTATTTTACCCTATATAACAGGCCATAACAGTAACAATTTATAATGCAGTTAGTTAGAAAATTCCTGGGTGTCAGGAGCAAATCCTGGAGTTTGCCATGTGTGAGCTGCAGGGCCTGGGAACAGAAGGCTTTCAGCAGAGGCAGAAGAAAACCAGTGCCTTGATGTGTTCAGCTTTCGAGGGGATGGGACACGTCCCTGTGAGGGGATCCGTGGCTGAAGCCCCCAGATCAGTGGCATGTTCAGTCAGGCGGGACAGGGGACCCATGAGGGATGGAGACCCCCATCAGTGCTGGGATGGACACAGCACCCCTGGCAGCAGGGGGGCTCTGGCTGTGCCAATGGCACAGGAGGGACAGCTGCAGGGATTCACCACTCTTAAGGCCCAAAACCTGCTTTGCTTGAAAGGAAGAGCCCTTCCTTGCCACCTCTCCTCCCTGGCCCATGGGGAGAGCCTTACAGTATGTGGCAGCTAAGTCACATCTTAAAAAAATCTTTAATGAAAAGTGAAGTGTTATTATTTACAGGTTTATGAACTACTGGAGGTTCTCTCCATGTACATCTGCAGGCACAGAAGGTGCACAATGCCCAGTGTCCTGGGATGAAGGAAAAAACCATATCCAGGGTTCTCTGTTAGAAATACCTTATTTTAAATAAATGAATTGCTGAAAAGAAAAAACAATAAAGAAGAATTGCAGTTGTTCTCCTTTTCCCACATGAGAATTCCTGCCAGTCTCACCTATCTTCTACAGGGCTGGAAAATGGCCTTTCAAAGAGTGGTGTTAGTACCATGGGCCAATGCTGTGGCTGTTTTCAGGCTGATATTTACTTGCTGATTGAGAGGCCATTTGTCTAAATATATCCCAACCCCAGGTGTACTCAGAAGGTTCAGTATTAACCTGAGAGTCCAGTGGTGAATCACTTACTGAAGTTGGATGAATTAGGGTAGAAAGAAGTGGGGAGGGAGAAGTAAGGGAAATAAATCCCCCGTGTTAGCCACAGTCATTATGCTTATGTTCCCTGGACTGGGATTTTGCTGCTTTTTAATTCAGCCCAGTTTGTGCCTGCTTGTAAATGTAATGGTCACTATTGTGACAGCAGATGTTCACTCAGTTCAGCTGCTCTTTAACATCATGTGGCATCCCGGCTGAAGCCAAAATGCAGAACAAGCTGTCTAAAACTCAAGCTGTCAAAATAAATCTCCACAGACACAGTGTCTATTGGAAGTGGAGTTTAAGAGACTGCACTGATTGCCAAAGCAAATGCCAAGAGATCACCCACTGTGTGCTGCCAGCTATGGCTGGGGAGTCAAACTCCATCTTGAAATGACATTTCTTCATGTGAGAAATCAGGTCTGGGCTGATGCTTTTCAATTAGTCCCTCTGCCACGGCTTTCAGTGTTAGAAATCACTGCTGGGCAGGACATTAGCACTGAAGGCTACAGTTGGGTGTTTCTGACAGTGCATGCATCAAAAAGTGCTTAAAAAATGACTTGACGTAATATGGTTTAGTGGGCATGGCAATATCCTGCCCAAGATTGTTAAGAGGGAGTGCAATAGCAGATGTTTGCTTTGGTTCTTCAGCACATCTTGAGAATTGACTTTAATCAAGAAAGAAATGGTTTCCTCCTTACCTGGAGGTAAGGATGAAACTAGGTGCCTAACAGCCCTTCCATGACAGAAAATCCAGTGAGGTACATATTTACATGTCTAATACCTCTGAAAAACTGACCAAGAGCATTGAAGTCACCTCAGCTTCCTTAATGGTTTGAAATTTCCCTCATAATTTAGGGAAATTATGGGTTTCTCCTCTGACCAATGCCAGACAAGACAGAGCTTGTGAAGTTTGTCCCTATTGCCCATTGTGTCTGAACCACCAGTGCAGTAGGGAAAGGCTTGTCTTGAACAGCAGCAGCTGAGATGATGAACTGCAATGCTTCAGCTATGAGACAGTGAGAGAGGGCCCAGGAATGAGAGAAGTCACGTGTATTCTATTGGGGATCACTATTTATTCAAAGTACAAAAAACATCCAGTAGAGTCTGTAAAATTGAACACATCCGCAGTGAATGTCCCAGGATGATCCCTCCATGGAGCACAAAGAGGGCCAGTGCTGGCCCAGCTGAAAAGTGAATACTTCTGGTTCCCTGTCAGATCCTGACTTCCAGGAAAGTCCTTGGGCAGTAGGTGCACTCTGTTCAACACAGGAAAACTTCAGGACAGCCTTGATTCTCTGGGAGCTTACCCATCCAGAACCATGGTAGGGAGAGTTTTGCACAGCCCAGTGCCCCTGCTGCATATGTGGGCAGGACCCAGGCTTACATACAGCAGTCCTTGCAACTCAGCACAAAAACTGCTACATTTTTTTCCTTACTCTAATATAATCAGGCTGGGACAAAACATAATAATTTTTATTAAACTTTATAAATAGGGAATATATCTATTACATACCATCTGTCATCAGTTAGTTTTTTTGCATTAAAATATATAATTTTACAAAACTTTACTTGTAAACCTAAAAATCTGCACAGTCCAGTGATAGAAGCAGCATTAATTATTTTATATTGTTTTATACAGGGATTGACAAATTCTCCCAATACAAGAGAAGTTCCTTATCATTAATGCAAGGAATACAGGGAGTCCTATCAGAAACTCTTGTGATGTGTCCCTGTTGCTGGTATTTATATTGAGATCAAATTACTTGCTTTTTCCATCAGGCCAAGTAATCTGACATAAGTAGAACCCTTCTGTACAAGGAGGACTTGCAAAATCCATACAGGGCT